GTCTTTCCGTCCCATGCATCTCGACAATATTCAGATTGCCGTAAAAAGACATACTTTGTCTGCTGAACATAAATGTGAGAGTTGTTTCCCGAAGTGAACTACTCGCCTCCAAACTTCTGCTTTAAGGTTTTTTATACTTTTCGGAATGCACCACTCTGGTCAAGAGTGTGATATCCTGGTGGAATGCTAAAAACACCAGTTTAAAATTAATTCTTGTAACCATTTGCTGTGGTTCATTATTATGAAATGGTATTCTTATATTACTGCACTGTACTACAGGTGCACTTTTTATATAGTAAATGCGTTTGTTGAAAAGTAGTTAAAAGTAGTTCTGTATTGTAAACTTTTATCCAGTATTGAAGTACCTTGCATGTCACTTTTAAGTCATTATTTCCTCTGCACTTTTAAAAAATTTGTTTGGACATTGAGGTTGACATTACCTGAAAATAAATTATATTTAATTCTCTTCTCCTGAATGCTGTTTCTTTGTAGATCCGTTGAGGTTCACAGCTCTGTTTAGTTTTGTTCGGTGACCTACAGATATTTGCTCTTTTAAAAATATTACACGTCTTCCTCTCAGACTTGACACCCACACACCCATAAGTAGAACAGTGTACATAAACTTGTTGAAGGTGTCAAACTTAACTTTGTTCAAAAACGTTGTAAAAATGCAAAGGTCAATATTCAAATTATAATTATTTCATTAATCCAATCAGATCATCAATAATTACAGGTGCATCTCAATAAGTTAAAATGTCATCGAACAGTTGATTAATTCCCCTGATTAAATGTTGATTTATTACACACAGACTGATTTATTCCAAGTGTGTATTTCTTTTGATTTCAATGATTAAGGCTTACAGCTAGTGCAATCCTACAATTCATTGTATCAGAAAATTACCTTTTTAACACAGAAGTGTTGAACTACTGAAAAGTAGGAACACATATAACACTCAATACTTGGTCTGGGCTATGTTTTTGCACAAATTACCTCAGCAACGTGGCATGACATGAGGTGATCAGTCTGTGGCACTGTTGAGGTGTTATGAAGCCCAGGTTTCTCTGATAAATAACCTTCGGCTCTTCTCCGTTGTTGGGTCTGGTATCTCACATCTTCCACTTCAAAACACTGCATAGATTTTCTGTAATTTATTGGTCGGGCAAATTTGCTGCATGGTCAATTAAATACAAGGGAAACCATAGTCCTTAAACAAGGTGTTAGTACTTTTGGATGTGTGGCCAGGTGTCAAGTCCTTCTGGACAATCAAATCAGCATCTCCTCTTTTTAATCACACTTTGATTTATTGAAAATCTCAAAAAATATGTGAACTAATGTCAACTAGGGTGAATTTAGGTCAATGGGGACACTTTTCCTTGGTCATCTACAAATTAGTGGCAAGCTTATTTACTGTTGTGGAAATTGCCTCACCGTGAGATCCTTGCATTGTTATACCTACTCTGCCATAATTCCCTCGGATTGAGTCCAGCTTCCTGTCTGCTTGCAGCCATTCTCATGACCTGACAAGTTTAACCTTGGTTCTTTTTCTCTCTCAAGTATCCTTTTGTTTGGTTTGGATCATCTCATCCACAGAAGGAGGTTTGGCCTAGTTGGCTTGAATCCTGAGTTATTGACTCAAAGTAGCATTTACATTTATTTATAGATGTTTTACTTTTTATATAATTGACTTCAAAAAGGCAGCCAACATGTTATAGTACATCCTTAATGTTTTTCTCTCTCCTTAAACGCTTTCTTATCTGTCTCCTTGAACAAATTCCCCCAAATGATTTTAACAGTTGAACAATATAAACTGAAGCCATAATTTTGGTCTTCAGTGGAGTCCACCCAAAAACATTTTCTGTCCATTTTTGGGGGGCTAACATTTAGGGTGCACGGCCACCGAAAATATTTTGCTCTAGCTGAGGATTTGTTTTCTGTGGTTGTGGTTATTGTTGTTTTTTTTTTGTTTTTTTTTTAGCCTTTGCAAGTTGAAAACCGCAACATCTATTTGAGATGGCCATCCAATCATAGTAGCGGAGGGACGGGACATTCAGTGTGCGAATTACAGTGGGGTTTGGGGAGGATTGACCACCCTAACTAAAGTTTGATCTTTCCTTAAGGACGTCAAAAACAAGATGTATTGGGGTGGGGGGGGGGGGGGGGGGGGGGGGGTCACTATGACCTGTGTTTTAAATAATAATGTTAATAATTAAAATTATAGATATCCAATTGACCACCCCTATAACGGTTCATACCATTGTGAATGTATAATCCCGCTAATCAGTCTATGCGAGAAAAACATCATTCAACAGTCTGAATCCAGCAGATTTAGAGCACTATAACAGTTCACAAGACTGATTTCTCATAAAATTAGTGTTTGTTTTGACATAAAGCCTCAAAGTAAAGTCAAATTAGTTGCGTAGTTTGTATAGTTTGACATAAAGTAAGGCGGAAATAGCTAAACAGGTCAGAATACACTTAATAGCCTATCCCACAAAACATTAAAAACTATTAATTAATTAGATGTGATAAAAAATTATAACTTTAATTCACTAAAGCATGTATTACACAAACTAACAATAGCGAAAAAGATGACCCCCCGATCACCAAAGTACAATTCGCACACTGAGGACAATACAACACCAATGTCAACAGATAATTTGCATAAGCCTCAAACTCAATTGCTGGAGAGCCGCAGCTCTGTACAGTTTGCTCCATCCCTAATTAAACACAGCTGATTCAGCTAATCAAGGTGTTCAAGACTACTAGACACTTTTAAATCAGCTGTGTTTGATTAGTGTTGGAGCAAAACTGTGCAGAGCTGCGGCTCTCTAGGAACTGAGTTTGAGACCTATGTGCTAAAGACTTCAACATGAAACGGTACAGTGTAATGGTAATACTTTTTATCATAGCAATTGAATAAAACACAGTACTGCAAAATGCTGACAGCTATATATGATTAGGTATGTATTATGATTAATGTAATTAATGCAAAGTTTTTTTTTTCAAGTATTCTGTCCTATAACAGGAGACAGTATGGAGTTTGTATGAAATTTGAACAATTCTGATAAAGTTACTGGATGCTGCATGTTGTCTCAAAAAAACTGAACTTGAATTGCATTTCAAGTGTTCACTTATGGTCAGGAACACGTAGATCACTTGAATATTGTCTCAAAATGCTTACACTAGGAATCACTCTTAAGAACGCCCTAGTGTCTGTATTTTGACAAAATGACTTTATTATCCGTCAGGGAAAGAGGCTTACAGTAGTGTATCTTTCAAATGAAACTTTTTGGATTATACTTTTATTGCTCTTATTCTTTCTTTTATTATTATTATTTTTTTTTTGCAATTATTTCCTTATAAAGTTCACGATAAGGCCACAACCATAGCCCAGCCATGAACATAGGTAAGTTCATATATTAGGTAAATGGAACAGAATTATTTTTTAGCTGATACTCATCTTCTTTTCACTATCTCTGTTTATCTGTTCTGTAATAGTTTTATTGACAAGTGCTCTAAAACTCTAAAATATCTAAAATAACAAGTTATAATGTTTTTGAGTCTGCTCTGGTTCATTACTTGACTTTGAAAGTATATTTTGCACTTTAGTTATCTTGGCTTTAAGTAGAGACCACTAAAGTCAAAATGTCTCACGGCATTTAAGAGTAATATATTTGTGTGTTGTTTTTGGATGCTAGAGTTGATCAAGGCTTGTAGCAGACCCACTGTTATATCTTTTTGCAGTGGCGAAATCAATATTGAGGCTTGTTGCGGAAAACAAACAAACAAACAAAATAAAAACAAAACATGAAAGCTTTTTACATTTACACTTTCAATCCTTCTGATTTCCATTTCTTTTTAAATAGATGATTTTAAGATCAAGCGTAAAGTTAAATTGGTGAAGAAACATGCATTTTTAATGAGCCAAAAACTCTATACATTTATGACTGCAGTCTTTATCTAAAGCGAGTGTAAAATTTGTAACTAGCAAATGTCTAAGAGCAATCAGTATCTTTATGGGTAAAGCAGTTGAATTTTAGATAAGCAACAAAGTGTGCATCTTTCAAGGGAGCCTTTAAAATGCTGACTAAAAACATCTAAGAGGAAGTGATACGAATCAGTAAAAAACATTTCCTCTAATAAATTGTTTAATGCAGCATCTTTTCTAACTCATGTTAAAAGACCCTCAATTAAAAGCAGACTGATAAAATTGTGAAGTATAATAATGTTGAATATACATATGTTTTAGGTCAATCCTTTTTGTAAATATAGTTTGAGTTTTCCCCACTTCTCTATTTTCAAACAGAACATTTTTTTAATTACCATGCTGAGTAGTGCTATCTGTAACTGTGAAAACTGAGAAGCTGTACACATACACCAACAAAATAAAAAGAAACTAATAGATTTGCTGAGTAATTTTATTAATAAACACATTTTTTGTAGTGGCACTGTATGGCTCACAACAAAGGTATACAGCAACAGTTGAAGTCAAAATTTTTAGCCCCCCTGAATTATTAGACCCCGTTTATTTTTTTCCCCTAATGTCTGTTTAACAGAGAGAAGATTTTTTTTTCGACACATTTCTAAACATAATAGTTTTAATAACTCATTTCTAATAGCTGATTTATTTTGTCTTTGCCATGATGACAGAAAATAATGTTTTTCTAAACATAAGACCCTTCTAAACAGCTTAAAGTAACATTTAAAGGTTTAACTGGGTTAATTAGGTTACCTAGGCAGGTTAGGGTAATTAGGCAAGTAACTGAATAACGATAGTTTGTTCTGTGGACTATCGAAAAAACATTGGCTAAAAGGGGCTAATAATTTTGTCCCTAAAACGGTGTTTAAAAAATTAAAAACTGCTTTTATTCTAGTCAAAATAAAACAAACAAGACTTCCTCCAGTAGAAAAAATATTATCTATATAAAAATGTCTTTGCTCTGTTATGCATCATTTGGGAAATATTAATAAAAGAAAAAAAATTCATAGTGGGCCTTATAATTCTGACTTCAACTGCATATGTATGCATATATTTCTAGCAAAATACATCTTTTTTTACCATCTTACTACTTTTAGCTCACAAATGAAAGCTTTTCGGATTATTTTCTCTCGCAAATCCAATTAAAAGTCTCGCTGCATGAAAAATCATACAATTCTGCTGAAAACGATGCAGCACAGCTCTCTCCTTGAAGTCCATTTGGTTCTCCAGGCCCCCAGGAGCTGAAACTGCAGATCAACATTAGCTGTTTAGTGTGATATGACACTGACTGTGAGAATTATTAATTTATTAATTACAATCTCACCCAGTGGCCAGTTCGCTGCCATCAACCCATTTCCATTTCCTCTCTTCATTTTTGTCAGTCAGACCAATCCAAACATTAGCATCAGATTTAAAAAACTTCTATTTATGGGAAATAATTGAAATAAAATCAATCAATCAATCAATCAATCAATCAATCAATCAATCAATCAATCAATCAATTAGCTCATCAATATTTCACTCACATGTTCCTCTTTACTGTTTATAATCATCAGACTTGCTCCTCTTTGTTCACAGTCTTTTTTACTCTCAGTCCAGTTCTTCGTCTCAGTGGACATGTAGTAAAAAACTGATTGATAGCACATCCATCCATCTGGTAACACAACCAGTTTAGTTACAAACTCTTCATTCTTGTCTACTTTTAACCGAAGCTAACTAATGACAGTTTACACATCTTTTTAAAACTAAACATTGCATAGTTTAAGTGCAGGTCGAGATTACCCATTCCATGAAGATGTTTTAGCAGTGCTTTTTCCTCTTCTTTTAACTGTTGTTTTTGCTTATTTGCATTATTGTTTTCTTGCTGTAATCCATCTTTTTTTGTTTCCAAGTTTTCGATTTCCTCACGTAAAGTATTCTTTTGGTTTGCAAAGTTTTCCTCTCCGTTCTCATATATGTCAGCCTTAGTTTTGTGCTCAATACTCAGCAATATAATGGCCTCCAGCAGGAGAATGCACTGCAGCACCAAATATGCTGTCACTTTTTTGTATGTTTTATTCCTCACAGAATCACTTCCTGAAAATGACATGTATATATTGACAAATGTTTTGTAATACTTAAATATCAAGGCTTGACATTTGCATGACTAAAATTCAATGTGGTTAATTGTTTTGTAAAAACAAGTTTCGTTACCTTTGCTGGTTGTCTTGCACATTTTCAGTCTCTTTAAGCAAGATTGTTGTAAGTTGCTTGTGTGTGAACTGCACTGGTGTGTACTGATACTTTAAAAGGCTCAACTTTAACTGCGCCACTATAACCACACTGAGCAGTCGTATCCTCTGTTTATCTATCTGTCTATCTATCTTGTAAGATTCCATTTTAACAGTCCAACAACAGAATGTTATGCATGGATAGCACTTCTGAAAAGAATTCTATTATTTTTTTAAATGTATTTTTATATGTTTTCAGCTCCAAATATAATCATAAGACTGCAATTTTAAGGAATTGTAAGGAGCCAATCACATAATTCATTCTTGAATCGGTTTAGAGTTTTGACATATATCTGATCTTATACTTTTCAACTATGCATCCATTAGTTTCTTGTCCCGGCACCAACTATAATAATGTGTTTAAACTACAGCAGATCTTATTGTAGTTCTGCCAAATTACTAAAAAGGTAATAAGAATGATGGTATAAAAAGGTACATCTGTAGTCAAAACATCCTTCAGCAATCTTATACCAAAAACCGAAATAAGGACAGTTATAGTAGCTAAATTTGTTGGAGAGCGTTGCTAGTATGTGACTATTTTAAATTGCTAAATTGAGCTATTAAGTGATGAAGTTAAATCAAAAGTAAGCACTTAGTATTTGAAAATTAAATGATTTAAGAATAATATAAACTGACATAATTTCTGTTTTTGATATAAGATTACAGAAGGATGAACTAATTGACTGAAAATGTTCAGTTTTCTACCATACTGACAACTTTTTTTTAGTCATTTAGCAGAACTACAGTTAGATCAGCTGTAGTTAAAACCCATTCTTAAAGTTGGTGTCGAAATCAGGTCAAATACAGTATGTGTGCACTATGCAGGGTGATAAAAAGATAATCCCAAGCACATTTTACTAATTCAAAACAGCATCTTTCTTAATAATTACTGTCAACATTGCATGTATACATTAATGAGTAATGTATAACATATATATATATATATATATATATATATATATATATATATATATATGTATATATATATATATGTACATATGTATATATATATATATATATATATATATATATATATTAGCCAAATTTTATTATTAATTTTATTAGCCAAAAATTAGATGTGAGACCATTAATGCAACTATCAGGAATCATGTAGTCTCTTGTATATATATATGTAGGGTGACGCAGTGGCCCAGTAGGTCACGGGTGCTCAGGTTTCCCTCACAGTCCAAAGAAATGCAGTACAGGTGAATTGGGTAGGCTAAATTGTTCTTAGTGAATGAGTGTGTATGGATATTTCCCAGAGTAGGGGTTGCAGCTGGAAGGGCGTCCGCTGCATAAAACACATGCTGGATAAGTTGGCAGTTCATTCCACTGTGGCAACACCACATTAACAAAGGGACTAAGCCCAAAAGAAAATGAATGAATGAATATATATATATATATATATATATATATATATATATATATATATATATAAAATATATAATCTATATATATAATTTTTCTATTTTTATTAATGATTCATTTTTAGTATCAACTCACGTCCATTTCCTTGCCAACTTGCCTTGTGTGACTTAAACTAGTTCTGGTATCTCAAGTAGATCTGAAGATATAGTGGCATGTTTTTTGTTTAGGTGTTTAGGTATGTTGTGTCAAATGGCACTGAATTGAGGAAATTGTAATACAACAAAAATTAAATGGCATTATGAAAATCACACAAAAATATTTAATATTAGTAGTTCATTTAATTTCCAACACTATTCAAATATACATTTATGTCATAGCACATTTGTGATATTAACAGGTCCGGCATGCTGTGTGTAAAGTTGACCAGTATTGAATTCATTGTAATTCACCAAAAATCACATTAGTAAATCATACAAAAAAAAAAACAAGAAAAAACAGTTGAATTTAAAATTCATAATTCATGTTCATAATTCTGAATGAGATTTCAGACAACTCAAAAAGCAATACATATCAAGACACAAAAATACTAAATTTAATGATAAAACAAATAAAATAATTAAACAAATTGCCATGTCCCAAACTTACTTAGTTTGTACACTAATATTGAAACATGTATACACTTCCGCTTTGGAAATATGAAAAGCTACACAAACAGACAAGCTCAAAATAATTCATACCTCAAACAAATTCTCACTTTTTTGTTCAAATCTATAAAAACAATCTAAGATTTTTTTTCACTTATTATCTTTGAGGAGAAGCCTGTGTCATTTCAGTTCAGAAGAAAACTTGCTGGTTGAATTAGAGTAACATTAAGTCAGAATTTACCAGTGGTATGAATAATTTTGCAATTGAGTGTATCACAAATTATAATGAAATCTTAAACAATTATTAATATTTTATGCTACAGATTTTTATTTCATGAGAACTTGTGGGGCTGTTTTTAAAAAAAGTCAAATGAGACAATGTTGTAACAGCTCCATTTTTACCCTTTAATTAATGAAATCCTTCTTATTTGTTTAATTTTGTCGCTCACATATCCATTTAAATGTGTTTTTACAGGGGTAATCCCCAAAGCCTAAAGGCAGATTAACGGCACAGTCTTCATCATTAGTGCTGGTACCACTTGGTTCTCCTGCTCCCCAGAACCTGCAACAACAGATCAGCATTATAGGTCTACTTTCTGTGTGAAATAAAACTGACTGTATAGTTAAGTCTAACTCGCCCAAAAGAAAAAGACTTTACTCTCCCAAAGCCTTCTTTCTAATTTCAATAGTATTTTAAAGGTTTATACAATTACATAAATGTATAAAATGGCTAGGCCAAATATGGTTGCAACGATGCACAGAGTTTGATAGAAGAGCAACTATGTTTATATAAATTTAAGGGCACACAAAACTTATGCTTTGACAGTTACCTCTGTTTTGGTCACAAAAAAATAAATAAAAACATCAGTTTGAAAGTAACAACACAAATCCTTTTTTCAATTTTATACGTAATGTGTGATGTAATGGAACATTTGTTTTATTTGTTTTATTAAAGCATCCACTTAAACTAGAATAAACAATTAAGTTCTACAAATGCACTGGTGAAAAACACTCTGTATTTGTATGGTGCACGTGATTACTGAACTCAAAGACCTGTACTGTAACCTTTTTTCCCGTTATAAAATACATACGAATTGTTAAACTAGTATTAAACAAGTTATTAAACTAGTAAGTGGGTAGTTGGATGAATAAATACATTCTAGACAAGGCTTTTTTATTTGTTATTGTTGTTTATTTATGTGTCAGTTTTGTCTTAACTAACTTAACCAATATAATTTTTATTTTTTTCTTGCAATTTAAGTACATTTTACTCTTTAGAACTTTTTTCTAGAAATTTCTAACTAAATTAAACACATTACATTTCTAATTAAAATTGCAAAATCAACACTTTTAGAGCTTCCAGAAATAATAAAAAGGCACAATCACAATATTGATCCGCGTGGTTCAATTACTCGTGTATCTGCGGGGTCTTAAAAAGTCTTACATTTCAAAAACACAATTTTAGGCTTTAACATGTCTTAAATTTACTGAAATATTTTCTTGTATGTCTTAAATCATTTAAAAAAGGTTTTAATTTTTCTTTGTTTATATAAAGCCACCTAATTAATTTAAAACACATCCAATCACCAACAACGCGTCTCAATAAAACTTTTAGCAAAACTACTCATAACTAATATTTATTGTTGTGCAAACATTTAGTTTTTAAAGAGTTATTTTTTAAGTTATGTTGAACATAACCTAGGCAGGTTAGGGTAATTAGGCAAGTTATTTTATAACAATTCTTTGTTCAGTAGACTATCGGAAAAAAAATAGCTTAAAGAGGCTAATAATTTTAACCTTAAAATGGTTATTAAAAAAATAAAAACTGCTTTTTATTCTTGCCAAAACAAAACAAATAAGACTTTCTCCAGAAAAAAATTAAATATTATCAGACATACTGTGAAAAGTTCATTGCTCTGTTAAACATAATTTGGGAAATATTTAAAAAAATTTAAATAAAATCAAAGGGGGGCTAATAATTCTGACTTCAACTGTATGCATACAACTATAAGGTCTGCTTGTTTTGAGACATTATTTAAAATATATGTCTAAGAAATTCCTAATTATTACTTTTTTTTTTTCTGCTGGGCCATTTAAAATCCTTAGCATCTAGTCCTGCATTCGTCTAAAATTTCATTCTTCGTGGTCTTAACATTTTTTAAATTTGACATGGTAAAACCTGTAGACGCCCTGATTACACTGAAAAAAATGGTTCATTGCAAATTGCAAACAGTTTATATAAACTGAATTTAAATATACAAATTAAGTTAAACATTACAGAATTCAACTTGTTTGTTTAAACTCAGCCCATATAAATTGTTTGCAATCACAAAAAAAGGTAACACTTAAAATAATGCTCCATTAGTTAATGTGTTTATTAACATTAATTAAGTATAAAGCATTAATTAATCATAGTTCAACATTAACTAATGTGATAATTAAATCCAAAGCTGTATTTGGTAACATTAGTTGATACACTAAGTTAACCTGAACTAATGTTATTTAACTTTAATAACATTAACTAAATTAACAAATATGAATAGATACTATAATAAATATACTACTAATGGTTTGTTTGTGTTAGTAAATACAGTATCTAACATTAACTAATGGACCATTATTTAATTAAGTGTTACCAAAATTGTAAATGTAAATCCAATTAATATTTTTATCATTGTAGGTTTCTTACCTAAAGCCAAAAACAACACTTTTACAGCTTCCAAAAATAAGAAAAAAAAAATTATTACGGTCACAATTTTGAAGAGTGCAGTTCAATTAGGTTTAAATAGTTAACAGGTTAAATATTTAAACCTAAATCAAATAAATCAATTCAATGATTTCTTACCCTGGGGACAGACTAGTGCCGTTAACCCATGTCCATGTGCCCTCCAACTCACTGTCAGTCAGACCAATCCAGACTGAATCAGAAACACCAATTTCTCTTTCTACAAACTCCTATTAATACAAAATATATATATAAAATATTTTTGAATTAACAAACGTGTGCATAAAACCAAACCAATTTTTTTAAACTTAAGCCATAGTTTACTGCTTGCTTACTGACACATTTTCCTTCACTCACTTGTTCCTCTTTACTTTCTATGATGATCAGGTCTGCTCCTCTCTCTTTGCAGTCTCGTCTGCTCTCAGTCCAGTTTTTCTTCTCAGATGAAATGAAGTAAAGACTGGATTGATTGCACCGCCATCCATCTTTAAACACAATCAGGTCAACAATTAGATCTTTATGCTTATCCGCACTGCTTTACGCAGGCTGGTTATAACAAGTCATACAAAGCACATTGCAAAAAAAAATCAATAATATGAATGTCCTTCTTTATTACCCATTTTATTAATCTGTTTCCTTAGTTCTTCCACTTTTTGATGTATTTTTGGATTTTCTTCCTTTAGGGCTTTGTTACTTTCTGCTAAATTTTTAATAACGCGTTGTAAGTTTTCTTTTATTTGTTTTAAGGTTTTTATCTCATTGGTGTGGTTTGTGTTTTTGACGTAAAACTCTTCAATCATCGTGTAGAGATTGACAGCCATCACTATGACAACAGTCAGCATAGCAACACACATCAGCACCAAACACACTGGAGCTGCTTTTCGGATCCTCAAATAATCTAGAACAGGCATGAAAACAGACAATTTTTAAACACTCATATAACTTAATTGCGTGTGTTTTAGTTTAAGTTAAATTAATGAAAGAGTGTCCCAGTACCTGTGTGTTTGCTTGTTTGGTGTCGTGAGGCGTTCTCTGCTTCTGTCCTGACATGGCGGCTTCTCACGACTGCGATCTTCTCCTCAACATCTTTTCTGTCCATCTTGCCTGTCTCATTGGCATTATCCTTCTTGTAGATTTTGGGTCTTTTAGAGGCCATTTTGTAAGGTAGTTGTGTGTGTGGATGGCACCACTGTGTGTAGATGCTGTTTGAGGCTCAACTTTAACTACACCACTGTAACCGCACTGAGCAGTTATATCCTGTCTACTTACAAATTTGAAAAAATGTTTTGCTAAGAAATGATAGAGATCTTTTTCCTTATCTGTGAAATGTTTTTTATTTATTTTATTTTTTTTAGCCTAATAGGCATGTAGCTAAACATTTAAACCAATATACTAAAACTAATTCAAATAAGTTGCAAAATTAAATTAAATTAAATTAAATTAAATTAAATTAAATTAAATTAAATTAAATTAAATTAAATTAAATTAAATTAAATTAAATCAGCTGTGTAAAACACATGCTGAATAAGTTGGTGGTTCATTCCGCTGTGGCGACCTCAGATTAATAAAAGGACTAAGCCGAAAAGAAAATTATAAAATAAAATAAAATAAAATAAAATAAATTCCGAGAGATGGGTTGGGCCGGAAGGTCTGTTGCGCACTGTGGTGACCCTGTGTTAATAAAGGGACTAAGCCCTAATGAATGAAAATTTAATTTAATTTATTTTAATTTTAAATAAAATTTGATGTTTGTTGAATTTTAGAACAATACTTTTTGATAAAATTTATTAAAATTACACTGAAATAGTATATTGTTTTTTAAAGTAAACCTAAAAAATGTGCACTAAAAAAGGTAAAACTTCTGATTATATCCTGTTTAATTGAATTCATTGCTTTAAAGCAAAAAAAAAAAAAAAAAAAAAATATATATATATATATATATATATATATATATATATATATATATATATATATATATATATATATATATATATATATATATATCAAATGAATAATCCCCTAAGTAAACTTAAAAGCATTAGTTTTTTTTCTCAAAGGAATATTTTAGCCGCTTTTCCACTATAGTGCTGAACCGTTCTTTAAACAGAACTGTTCCATTCTGTGCCAAACCGGGCCAGACAGCACGGATACGGTTTCATTTTCTACTGTCGTGCTGTGCTGCGACAAAGCTCTCAGGTCAGGTGACCGGCATAACCCACGGTGCATGCAACGCGCGTGGCTGTGCATTTATACTTCTGCGCACTGTCTCTGTCGGTCTGCATTAACACTTCCGAAACGCTAGTTGGCAGTGATGTGTTATTGTTTCTCTGTGTCGAGTTTCTTCGCTGCTTTTTTGCTTTTCCTGAACACTTCCGGGATGTACAAGTGGCTCAAACTCGCTCATTTTGAGGCAGGAACCGGTGGACGTGCAACAACTTTAACTATGAGGTAAACACAAAACAAAACTTACCATCTAGAGCTCCTTCACGGTACTCCACACTTGTAAACAATCGCTCGCGACATTCACACGGCTACCAAGCCGACCAATCACAGAGCTTACGCTACGCGTCGTTGCGACGTGTAGTTAAATTTTTTGAGAGGTGCACGTCAGTGACGGCGACGGCCACGGCGAAGGGCTATGCGTCAGCGCCGTAGCATATGCTGGTGTTTGACGCAGAAGTATAAATCAGCCTTTACAGTGCCGCTCCGTAAAGCTTGCAAGGAAAGTCTTTTGGACGGCCGACATTACAACACGCCGTTCTTCAGGTGGTGTAGCTGGTATTAAATTAACAAGCTCTCCTGGCTTTGAATTAAAAAGTGCAATTATTTCCTCGTTGTTAAAAGAGTCTCCAAGTTCGTGTTCCATTGATATAGTGATGTTGTTGTGGACTTTGGACATCGACGATGCTAAGCGTGTCTTTATTCGCTTTATTCGCTTTATTCGATGCGTAGCAGGAAAAAAAGTCAGCAGCGCATGTAGTCGCTGGCATGTCTCTCCCGCATCAGAGCGAGTTTTGTGCTGTGAAATACAGCGCTGCATGCAATAAACTCACATTCAGGCAGGCGAAGTAGGTCTGTATTCAAGTCAATGAAATAATAACTTTAATTAATAAAATATCTTCGTAAGAATGTGATGAGTTATTAACTTATCTGTCAGAGACTGCTCTATGGTTTTAAAACCCTTTTCAAACTGTATCGTTTAGACCTGGTTCATTATTTTATATTAAATGTACTGTAGTTTATTGAGAATGTCTGATGACTAGCGCGCTTCTGCTGAGCCAGCTGTGGTAGCTTAGCAACAGAGCCGCGACGTCAACACAAAGAATCTGTCGGCACAGTATTCCGAATTATTTTAAATAATTTAAAAAATTACATTTTTCATTTTTTAATCAAGTCAAAACTATAATTTAAGGGTAATGTATACATTTAGCTGGAACAACTTACATTCATTTTTTTATGTGTTTGTCTAAAGCAAGATTATACTTTGTTCTAAGGTTAAAAAAGATGTGTATATATATATATATATATATATATATATATATATATATATATATATATATATATATATATATATATATATGTAGTGTCTATAATAAACAAAAATAACAAATAGTCACTGTGTGACTACAAAGTTCATTGTCTCATGATCAGCTGCAAAATCTCTGTTCACATTGTGGCTGGTGCAGAGACGGAGAAGGACACATATAGAACCAAATCACAACTTTTCAAGTATTTCAATCGTACAGCATTTATTTTGTGTTTCAGTCATTAAATAGACTCAAATACTATAACAATATCATTTATAGTTTATAAAATGCACACTGATGTCTAAGTGAAAATAATAATCACTTTTTAACAAAATGTTACAACATTTTTTTTTTTTACACCAGATGCAAATTGTCGACAACTTTTTTTTCCTATTCTTCCGAAAGGTTAACCAGCCTCTTAGTTTCAGGTTTTCAGAAGAAGTGGATGAATTAGGGGTTTTAAATTCATTGTTAAATCTCATCACTGCAGAGCAAACCAGTCATATCAGCAGAATCTAACATAATCGTTTAGCAATAATAAAACATTTTATATAATGAAATCAATGTGCTTACAAATTTATTTAGGCATACTATATATATATAGTCAGATTTCTTAGCCCCCCTGAATTTTTCGCCCCCCCTGATAATTTTTTCCCCCAAATTCTGTTTAATTTTTTTGACCACATTTCTAAACATATTATTTGTTCTGTAGACTATCGAAAAAAAAATGCTTATATGGGCTAATAATTTTTATTGGTTCATAATTTTTATTTTCATTAAAAATGGCTTTCTCCAGAAGAAAAAATATTATCAGACATACTGTGAAAATGTCCTTGCTCTGTTACACATCATTTGGGAAAAACTTAAAAAAAGAAAAAAAATCAAAGGGGGACTAATTATTCTGACTTCAACTGTATATATATACATCTATATATTTTATTACATAAACCAGCTTGTAATCATTTATTTAAAAATGTTCTTCTCACAGAGCCATTTAAAAGCATGATTGCATGGATAATCTGACCATCCAGGTGAAGAGTTTATAGCACAGTTTTCCCAAATCTGTCCACTGGGCTCTCGAGAATTCCAGAACCTGCATCAACAGATCACAATATCAGTAAAAACAAATATAACAACATCAGAGAAGAAACTAGAGTGTAAGTGTATTGTTGGAAACAGATTTATGACTTTAATTATACTCTCACCGGCCACTTTATTAAGTACACTGTACTAGTACTGGGTTGGACTGCTTTTTGCCTTCAGAACTGCCTTAATCCTTCATGGCATAGATTCAACAAGTTACTGGAAATATTCCTCAGAGATTTTAGTCCATACTGACATGATAGCATCATGCAGTTGTTGCAGATTTGACAGCTGCACATGCATGATGTGAATCACCCATCCCACCACGTCCCAAAGGTGCTCTATTAGATTGAGTCTGGTAACTGTGGAGGCCATTTGAGTACAGTGAACTCATTGTCATGTTCAAGAAACCAGTCTAAGATGATTCAAGCTTTATGACATGGTGTGGTCCTCTGCTGCTGTAGCCCATCCACCTCAAGGTTTGACAATGTTGTGCATTCAGAGATGCTCTTTTGCATACCGCAGTTGTAATGAGTGGTTGTTTGAGTTACTGTTCTCTTTCTAACAGCTGGAACCAGTCTGACCATTCTCTGATCTCTGGCATCAACAAGGCATTTGTACCCACAAAACTGCAGCTCACTGGATTTTTTCTTTTTTTCAGACCATTCTCTGTAAATCCCAGTAGATAAGCAATTTCTGTCCATCTGGCACAAACAACCATGCCACGTATAAAGTCACTTAACTCATCTTTCTTTTACATTTTGATGCTTGGTTTGAACTGCAACAGTTTATCTTGACCATGTCTACATGCCTAAATGCACTGAGTTGCTCCCATGTAATCGGCTGTGTTAACAAGCAGGTGTACCTAATAAAGTGGCCGGTAATATAATTTCTGTTATTCCAAGGTCTCTTGAAATTATTGATTCTGATTGACTGGAGATTGTGCAATTAAATAGTTAAATGTACAGTTAGTTCCGGTCAGTTTTGATCATAGTTTAGATCAGGTGTGCTCCCCCCCAAACTTTTAATAGTAACCATAGCAACTCAGTGACAGTTGCCAAAGCCTTAAGGCTTCATAGAGTTTAGATTCTCTACCCGAGCCCAGACTTGACCCAACCTGATCCACGAGCTTGGTCGGGCCAATATTTCCTCCTACTATCCTTGGGCCGGGCCAGGCCATAATCAAGCATTTGTCTTTTTTTATTTTATTTTATTTTTGTCATTACTTAATTAGCCTAATTGGGTGGAGATATATTCCATAATTAGAAATATTATGCTAATATCCGCTTGTTAATTGTAACGTCATGCGAAGCAGATTCCGGGTCCAAGCGCTCTATCAGACTGAATGGGGAGACTCATCAAATGTTAATAACAAATGTTTACAAAGCGATGTAATACTTTTAAAAATAACAATCACATTATATATGTCCATGCCTAATATTCGATGGCCAGAAAGTGATACATTTTTTATAAATTGGTAAAATTTTGGTGTTTTTGTGAAGCAGCAAGTCCAGAGACTGTTGTTTACATCATGATTTTATACAAAATAACTTTAAAGTGTGATAGGACAAATAAGTAGTCATAAACTAATATTTTCTCAATTCAATGAGTAGCGGCTTGGACCTGGAAACAGTATTCCATGCGTCACCGATACGTCACAACAAGCCGATTTTAGCTAAGTCGGCCTAACACATGTGTTGGTCAATTCGCAACGCATGTCTTGCACAGCAATGTCCTAGCTTCTGCAACAGCATCTCCTCTACTGGCACACATTCACACCGCATCTGCAAGCAGAGCTAAAGTAGCGTGTGGACAGTGCATATGCAGAGCAAAGGAGGTACATAGGCGTTACATATATGCATGATGTACGCTTATAGACCTAGTTATAATAATATTTATCCAATATAGTTATAATGATAATTATGCATCAAAGTATTGTGCAAGTTCAGCAAAACTGATACTAAAATTGTTTTACATTTGTTTTTGTAATTCGGGCTCGAAGCCTCGAACAAATATTTGTTGCATTTTTTAATCGTTAAAAAGTTAATTTGATTGATATTATAAAAATCAGTGGATCTTATTGATGCATTTATTGGTTAAAATTGCTACCTTTTGTGTCATTTAATGTGTATTTGGTCATTATCAATGCACTGTCACTTTAATTGAGCATGAGCAGTGGCCAAAATAGCACAGAAATGATGACGGCACAGCTACTTTAGCTCTGCTCTGTTGGATATTTCCTGATTGTTATTTTTAATAGAATGACAGGTTCTAAGTTATGTTTGTCAAAACTAAAAGTTTCATGCAGTTTGCTACTGTTTTTTGTAATAAATGGAATGCAAATTTCAGTAAATTACATTTTTCTCCTCCCCTTTTTGATCCGAACTGTGAGAATTGTGATATATTACAGTACTAATAATGTCATAACAGATCGTAATAACATTCATTCATTCATTTCATTCATTTTCTTTTTGGCTTAGTTGAATTATTAATCTGGGGTCGCCACAGTGGAATAAACCGCCAACTTATCCAGCAAATGCTTTTACGCTTTTTATGCTTTTTTAACTCTACACAGAAACGCCAACTGACCCATCCGAGGCTCGAACCTATTAATAATAATAATAATAATAATAATAATAATAATAATAATAATAATAATAACAATAACAATAATAATAATAATAACAGTTTGTCAGCTCATTGTGCATTTCAAATAATTTTATTGTTGTCAAACCTAAAAAGTGCAATATCTCTGATTTGTAGCTTGGCCCCAAGTGTAACATTAATGCACCAGTTGCAATTGGATTTTGTCTAATGCTGCATGAAACTGAAAGTGAAAATAATTTATTAGATATAATCAGTTTAATTTAGAGTTCTCACCTAGACATCATATTGGTGCCATCAACCCATTTCCAACTGCCCTCCTCATCACTGTCAGTCAGACCAATCCAGAATTCATCATTACGTGAAATCTTGTTCACAAACTCCTTGTAGGAAAAGTAAGTTTCAAAATTCAAAATACTGCACATATTCAGTTATGTACATATCCTCTTTATCACCCACTTTTCCACTCACTTGTTCCTCCCTGTTGCCTATAATGATCAGATCTGCTCCTCTCTCTGTACAGTATCTTCTACTGTCGGCCCAGCTTCTCTTCTCAGAGGAAATGAAGTAAAGACTGTATTTAGAGTACAACCATCCATCTGTAAGCACAACCATTTCTGCTTAATGCAGTACTCCCACAAACACTATCTTAAGAGTAATTTTTTTTTATTTACCTGTTTCACTAAGCTTCTTCCAAAGTACTTTTCTTTCATCACTGAACCGGTCTCTTTGTTTAGTCAGGTTGTCATTCTTGGTTAATAATCCATCCCTTTCCTTTGTCAAATTCCAGTTCTTGATGAGTAGCTCATCTCTTTCTTCTGCCAGGTCAGTAATATTTGTTTGCAATTGATATTTTTCTTTCATGAAGTTTTTGCTATTGATTTGAAACGGGTCGACGTTTGTAAAGACTTGGATACTCAGCACTATGACAGCAGTCAGCAGAAGAAAACACAGCAGCACCAAACACACTGGAACTGCTTTGGAGTTGCTGATCTTCTTTGAATCACTTCCTGAAGATGGTCATACATTAATATGTGTTTTAATATAATGTTGGCTAGTTTTATAATGAAGCAAGTCAATCACATTACCTTGTGTTATAATCTCATGCTGAGGTTCTATCTTAGCACTCCTCATAGTACCAGCATTGATATTGCCATAAATAGTCTTCGACATTTTCAGTAACAGTAGATCTGTTGTGTAAATGATAGAAGCTGTCTGTGTTCTTGTGTTTACTGAAGCTTTACTTCTTGCAGGCTAGTCTAAATTTTAACTATGGTAGTAGTCAAAGTATAGAAGAGCATTTCGGAAGTTCCGCCTGTGCTAATTTACATGCAGTTCTAGGTGCAGAAATAGTCGTGTTAAAATTCAAAGAACCGATCACATGGTATGATGTAGCTAGGTTTAGCGTGTCATTGCTCTGTTTTTAAAACTCCAGGGCAATGGAAACAGCCACTTTCATTTAAATGAGACAACTCAAGACATAAATGACACAGTGTAATATGTGAATGCATTTCCGTGGTTGTATGCAACTCATCAATATCTTTTTGAGCAACATAGGCATATTGTGAACATGTTTCCTTAAATACATTTCTTGAGATTGCGAATTATGTAGCCAGATATACATATGGCTGCATTCCATTTTTAAAATGAACGGTACGGGGTGGTATGAAGCCATTTCTTTTCGCTCTTACCAGCTGACCGCTTACCTCCGTATGGACGGCTTTCCCGCTGTTACCAGTTTGTCCAGTTAGCTTACTATATAAGTCGGTGGACTTGAGATGCAGAGAGCAGTTGACCACTAGAGCGAAGTTCGAATTTGGTAAATAATGGTTCCTGAAAGCAAGTAAGACAAAAACAGAATCCAAAAAAAATGTGAGAATATGGTAAAATATAAAAACAAGGTAAAAATCAGGCGAAGGCTTTTCTTTTTCTTGATTGCTTTTGTAAATTGTTGGTTGGGTTTAGGGAGGTGGGTGGTTAGGTCAGGTCAGTCAGTCAGTCTTTCAGTCAGTCGACAGTGGCCTCTGGTGGATTTACATGAGAAGAACAAGCATGAATGGCACTCATGAGAAAAATTTTAGATCTCAGAAAGCATACTCTGGTGGATTCACCAAAACAAAAACTGTAAAAGTCGTCGCTCCTGAGCCATATTTGGCGGTTGCCAGAAATGTATATAAAGCTACGTTTTTAGAATGAGTCTGGTTTGTATTGAGAGTTTCTAAGTTTTAAGACTGTGAGCCAGCGACCTTCTTGATCATGCTACCCACTGCGCCACCATGATGCCCAATAATTTAAAATACTTCTTACATTTTTAGCAACCACAGAGAATCAGGACCTTGGCTTATCATCTCATCTAGAAAACAACGCTCACTGAGCAGTATAGAGTCCCCATCAATCTATTGGGGCATTAGGACCCACACAGACCGCAGGCTGAGCACCCCTTCTGGTATTACTAACACCACTTTCAGCAGCAATCTAGCTTTCCCAAGTGGCCTTCCATCCAGGTACTGACTGGGCGCAACCCTGCTTAGAGTTGCAGAGAGCTAGCTGCCGGCTGTTCACCCTGTCTGGATGTATACTCATGATAATTTGTCATTGCAAAAAGTTTTTATAACTTTGAAACTTTAAACTTTTTTTTAAAACTTTTTTTTATATTACAACTTATAATTTTAATATTTACAGACTAGCCTATTTCATTTTTATTCATTATTTATTTTTTGTTCATTTTTTCACTTATGCATTTATTTATTAATTCTTTTCTATATTTGTTTATTTGTTTATTTATTAACTTGTTTTTTATTAATTAATTTATTTGTTTATTTATGTATAGTTTAAACTAGGCTAATAATTATTGCTTTCCATGTGTTGTTTACTTTACATGAGCCCGTCTTCTCAAATGTTTATAATAAAATACCAGAGTGAAACTGATCTGAGATGTATGACGTTTGAACGGATGTGACCCTCAAATACAAGTGTGAAATATCAAGTACCATTAGCATCACCAAAGAGAAGTGCTAAATTAAGCATTCTTGATTCTGTTCATTTTTCCACATCCTCATTTTAAGGTCTGTTTTAAGTCAAAGAAACCTATAGTCCCACTTCTTTGTGTTCTAATTTACTGTTTTATGTTCAATCTTTCCCACTAAGATGACTCATTTGTGGTCTGGGTTAAAACAGCTCTCTTTCAAGAATACCCTTTTATAATGACCAAATGTTGAGTGTACGTTTTAATTTACTTATTTACTGAACTCATTTTGCAAAATGTTTTTTGGTAACATTTTGGTGCATGTTTGATGGTAACATTTTAAGGTGATGTAGTTACATGTTCCATCCACTTACTATAGTAATTACAATGAATTATGCATAAATAACAAGACAAGTAAATAAAAGGGTGAGAATGTGGTAAAATCTGAAAACGTGGTAAAAATCAGGTGAGGGTTTAAATTTTTTGGATTGCTTTTTCGATTGGGTTAAGGGATGGAGGAGGGTGGGTCAGTCGATTGGGCATTCATTCAGTCAAGCAGTCAGTCGACAGTGGCATCTGGTGCATTTACATGAGAACAGCAGTCATGAATGGCACTCAAAAGAAATTTGACATCTCGAAAAGTGGACACAGCGGCCTCTGGGGGATTCGCAAAACAAAAACTGCAAAAGAAACATACTGTAGCTCCTGGGAGATATTTGGTAGTCTCCAGAAATGTATTTAGGGGTACATTTTCAGAATGAGCCTGGGTTGTAAAATTCCCAAAAGGAAAAATAAATGAACCAAAATGCTCTAAATAAACAGGAGTCTGATTTATTTCTCATATAGAGAATTGAAATGAATTCCTCATTTATTAAAATCTGTCAGATGGATGAAAAAAAGTTATAATATTTCAATTATTTCACATTGGATGGACAATCCAATGGGTAATTTTAAAATGCTTTAGCTTCTGTTTTATTTTTTTCTGAAGCTATAGGCCCCCTCTTTGGCAAAATTACCAAGTTATTTGTGCATTGAGGCCCTTTTTGAAACAAACTTTCCAAACAAGACCATTATAATTGCACCTATAGATATGACTGAGGATTGCATCTTGTTATGTGAGCAGGCTTTATTACTAAGTTATTTCCTACCATGAAAAAAATAAGCAGTCCAGATGAACCACACTGTTCTGGCGTGGCAGACCTTGCCAAATAAACATTTCCAAAAAAATGTGCTATACTTTAGGAATAGTAAGCATACTTGCATGCATTACATAATCATACAATCCAGATGGATTTTGCTGAATAATCAAATCAGAGTTAAACCACTTTCTATGCTACTATACTGACTCTTGTTGATATAAGGCCAGTGACTGACAAAGAATGTAAAGTAGTTGGTTCTCACCAATTAACTTAAATATTATTTTTCTATTTTGTGTTTCTGTGGTGACCATGTGGTTTTGATATAATTCATCACTTCCTAATTAAACTAGCAAACAAAATGTAAAACTATACTTATCATGTGTCACTAGAGGGCACTCAAGCTTTTTAAAAACTTCACCAGCCATTCACCTGTTCTACACTGTGGCGGCGTTCCATTGCCGCGATTGTTGGTAGAGCAAGCAAGTTTTGTACGTGTAAAGTCAGAGTCCGTAGGCAAAATAGATGCAAATAAAAACGTCAATATTTTCCAATCAACATAATTCCTTCACCAATTTTCCTTACTCTATAATGCACACTTCTCTGTTACCTTAAGTTGTTATGTTGAATTGAGTTACAGTCAAAAACTGTGTGCTTCCTACCAATGCTCTCTTCCTCCATGCAGTGAAGCCACAGTTATATAGCCTGGTACTGACACCTTTTGGCCAATTGCTCCTACATACACTTTCTATAAAGCTGTGGTCACATTAGACTTTGAGCATGCGATATACTTCCATTCATACGCACGCAAATGCGTCAGACCGGAAATGCAGGGTCATGCATTAGGTTTCGCAGTTTGCTGCAGTGCAAAATTCAAGCTTGGTGAACTCTAACCTGCGAAATCGCGTCACTTGACTGCGTGAAACCAATCGAGGATCAAAACATGAAATCTCTTAACAGAAATTTAAAACATGGAGCAATCGCTCGCTTTTTTTAAATGTCTAATGACCTTGTTTAATCCAACCCCTTTTCGCAGCGCCGCACAATAGAATTTCGCACACACAAACTTTAGTGTGGCCGCAGCTTAATGCTTTGCAACTCACAGCTGAAACAGTTTACTAATCTGCACACACACATGCACAGCTGCAGATCATTGACACTGATTACACACATTATATAAAAAACACCGCTCACATAAACACAATAGTGATGGTGAAATGAAGCTTTCTGAACCAGTAAAGCGCTCGATTTGAAAAAGGTTCGTTACTCAAAACTTTCTAAATCAAAGCTCGATGAGGACTTCTGCTAGTTAAGGTTTTGGAAAGCACTGTGTTGCAAAAATGTCAAATGTTCACAACTGATCAACTCATTCATGTACAAATACAACAATTAACAGTAATAAAAACAAATTACTCAATAACTGTAGTTTTTACAAATAAGGTATGTTACATTACACCACCGAGGACTGTAGTAAATCCAAGGTATTCAAAAGTGTTTACATTTTTCATGTCTCAACTAAACCTGGAAATGGGGATCAAACCAGCGATTCCTGCATGGAAGGCGAATGCTCTAAGGAGGAGGCTATGTGAGTGATGCTTTTGGCCTGCACTTGACAGCTGGTCTCCGTTAAACACTATACTTTGATGTGAAGTGGTTTTCTTTAAAAATAGTTGTAAAAAATACACTAATAAACTTTAGGATGGTTCATAAATTATATACTATAAATTACTATTGCATTTTAGTTTAATTACTGGTGTGTGGGACCAGTGCAGTGCTTTGAAACAGTAGAAATGTATGTAATCGACGCCATAATCTCTCGCTATACACTTTACTAACCCATGAGGTTGTTTAAACCTTTGAATCAAAATTCGAAGCAGTCAGTGGGTAAAGGCGTAAATGAAGCTTCGGACGTCACTGATCACGTGATTATGGCAAAACGAATCAAGCTCCGGTACACTGCTTCACTGCAAGATGTATCGTTTTTTTGATACATGCTTCGAAGCCTAGGCGCACAATGTCACGTCACTAACACACAATTCCTCAGCCTTTTATTACTGTTAGTGTGCACCACCCAGCATTTTCCTGTTTGTTGTATTTACCTGTTTTGATTTTGGACTGATTTGGAATTTTGAAGTGCTTTCTGCCTGCCCTGACCATTGTCAGTCTTTTTGGATTACTCTATTGGATTAAAATTGACCTTGTCTATCTGGCCGTCTTTGTCTAATAAAGCTGCATTTGAAGCTTACTTCATTGTCAGCACACTTGATAGAATGTTTTTTTTTCTTTCTTATGTACAGTTTCATCATTTGTATATTTGTGTTTTTATTAGCTGATGTAATTTTTTAGATGCTATTAAAGAGCCCCTATTACACTTTCATTGTCTTATAATATGCATTTACTTTACCTAATTATCCCAGCGACTCCCATATGAATCGTTCAGCAATTTATTTGTTCCCAAATCCCTCCTTAGCGCGAAGCTGATTTGCGCTGATTGGACTGCTGACAGCCTATTTAGATTGGTTGACAGCATTCAACGTGAGACAGAGTGAAATGCCCAGCAACAATATTGAAGTAGTCAGTGTGCATAGTGTATGTGTGAACATACCTGCCAACACTCCTGTTTTTCCCGGGAGTCTCCTGTATTTTAGACCCATCTCCAGCCACCCACCAAATTTGTTATTTATCCTGGAAAACTCTCCTATTTTCAACCACCAAATAGTATATTGCTCTATTCTTAACCATGACACACATTTAGTATTAATCCACACAGTGGCAAAAGCTGAACTATTTTGAACCTTGACTGTTGCACGTGTGCAAGATCAGCTGGAGATGGCCATAGCAACGACAAACAGCAGTGGAACGCGAGCTCACAAACGCATTAAAATCCGTAAACAAAGTGGCATGCATCGTGTTTTCAATGTGGCATTAGATGTGATATGAGAATTTAAAGAGTTAACCTGATACAGTACAAGTGCTTACAAGTAACAAAACACAATTAAATACATAATTTGCAAGCTAGAGAAAACAAGGAGGCAACCATTTTAATCACACTTACTTACATTTGTGAAATGGAGGAAGAAACTGATCCATGATCCACTGATCCATGTACTGATTAAGTTCCTGTCAAACTCTGACAAAGTCCCATACATAAATAGTCTTTTCTGATCCTTCCTTTAACAAAAAGCAAACGAATCCCCTGTTGTAAGCGTGTAAATTCCAGAAGCACTTGTCAGAAAAATGATGGGAACAGCACGAGGTTGGGCTATAATGCTGAGATATTTTTGCAAAAATAAACCTCAACCACTGACTCTTCACAGTTTTATCTTTGGGTAGAGAAAATAACACCAACTTTCCTTACACTTCAAGTAATATCCAGCTGAGCACAGCGTCTTCATGACTTGATTCAACCAGGATATGCTACAATGTTTGAGGGAGGGGCTGCAGGTTTAAATTTTCCAGGGTTTGCACGCACAACAATTGGGCGGGGCTTAAGTTTCGTATAGATGTCATGCCGAAACGGCTAAAGACTCATTATCAAGATGATTCATTTGAAGCATTATGAATATACTCTTTTATAAATGAATCAATAGTTTAAAACACTGTGCACTTTTAGATTTAAGCCTTAGCTGGATATTTAACTTCACTAAAAGCTGTGATACACACTACATGGAAAGTCATTCTCAAAAACCCATAATATTGGCTCTTTAAAAATTTGCCTAGGCAGGAATACAAATCTGACCTGAGGTCTGCGGCTACGAAATGCTTTTAACTTTATTAATTTGTAGTTACACTAACATGAAATAAGGTTTATATGTCTGCTCAGTCAGGATATAAATATTTTTACAAGATGTACAATAAGTCTCTGATGTCACTATTGTGTAAAGTTTCAGCTCAAAATACCTCATAAATAATGTTTAGAACTTTTTGAACCTGCACCTTTTAGGTTTTCATCCTAATTGTGTTGTTTGGTGACTGTTGCTTTAATTTGAGATTGTGTTCTTTTTAAAGAGGGCGGAGCTGCAAATGTCTATGTGTCAGTATAGTGGCAGATTCAAAAACAAGACTAACGTCTTATGCTAATTAATGAGTGATCGTCTCTAATGTGTTTCCCCCTCTGATGACACAAAAAAAGGGAGAATATTACTCAAAGTGTTTCTGCAGACCATTTTATAAATTGCAAATATAAAAAAAAATTAGGGCTGTCATTTGATTAAAAAAAAATAACCAATTAATCACACTTTCTTTGTAATTTTGTACAATTTTCGTAATCACGAAAAGCCATATTTATTGCTGAAATAAAAACACAGGCATGTTAGTACCATTTGAATTTCAAAACAATCAATGCCAATAACAAAGAAAAATTATTTCCATGTTGGATTGTAAGTGGACTAAAAAAAAAAAAACAATTTGTACTCATTATAAAGTTTTATTGTGAGCTGAAAACATTATTTATAAATCAGAAACAATTTTGCTTAGTCCTCTTTAACATTTAGCCAGTTGCTAAGACAGTCCAGTCTATTGACATTATTAGGGACTGTGGCCCTTTTCTTTTAAATGATGTGAGGTGAGAGTGAGAACAGTCTCTCACAAGCAGAATCAAGGGGTACATTAAAGGCACATACCAAAGACTATAGACTTCTTACAGGGTCCTACACTGTCAGTAATGTTAAGAGCTGCTTGGAAACGCACACACACACACACACACACACACACACACACACACACACACACACACACACACACACACACACACACACACAGAAACAACGTGCACAGTACAGCGGTCACGGTGAGCGACTCCTTTTAGATTCATCAACACACACAATCGCGTTCATCAAATTTACTTAAACTAAAGGCTGGTTTATACTTCTGCATCAAGTGACCGGCGTAACCCACGGCGCATGCAACGCGCGTAGCTTTAAATTTATACTTCTGCGAGCTGTCTCTGTTGCTCTGCATCAACATTTCCGAAACGCTAGTTGGCACTAGCAACAGTATTATAGAAGTTATTTTCAGTTTAGTAAATAAAATAAGTGCAAGAAAACACCAGCTGATTAATATAAAAAATAAAAAATACAACAATACAACTGTGTACAAAACGTTTTGCTTGATACATGAAATTAGATTTGCAGTGTATTTTAGAGATCTGCTATTAATGGTGGTCATTATTAGAAAAAAAAAATCCAAACCTCGAAATATCAGGACTAACCAAAGATATGTATGAAGAACTACATAGGCTAAGTTTACTTTTTAGGATTGGTGTTCCACAAACGAGGATGATCATTTTAAGGGTCAGTGTCGTCTAATGTTTGAAAACCCCTGCTTTAATAATCCTGACGTCTTTGGACAACTAAGGATTTTCATTAGGGTTGGCATTGTAATATTAACCATTGAAAACAAAACATTTTTGTTGCTTAACTGGTAACTGGTAAAATATTTTTCTCACAGATCCATTGATAAGCACCATCACATGCAACATCAAGCCATCCTATTAACTCAGGGTGCTTTTTTAAATGGGTCACAGCACAGTTCTCTGTTTTCCGTCCATTGGGCTCAGTTATTGATCCAGAGGAAGCCCAGAACCTGCATGAACAGATCAACATTAGGTGTTCAGTGCTGCTGTATGATACGATACTGGTCGTTAGAATCATTTAATAATTAATTTATTAGATCATAAACCAGTTTAGTTTTAGGATTTCTCACCTAGACGTCAGATTACTACCATCAACCCATTTCCATATTCCCTCTTTATCACTGTCAGTCAGACCAATCCAGAATTCATTGTTACTGGTGATCTTCATAATAAAATCCTAAACAGATGAAACAATGCAATATTTATTTAATCAACAGAAAATATATAGTACACATTTCATCTGACCATCTCTCACTTAGCTTCTAAACACCATAAACACACACACACACAATCTCTCACTCACTTGTTCCTGTTTGTTGTTTATGATGATCAGATCAGCTCCTCTGTCTTTACAGTCTCTTCTGCTCTCAGTCCAGCTTTTCCTCTCACTGGACAAGTAGTAAAAGCTGGATTGATAGTAAGCTGTTAAGAGAACAAGCACAGTTATTAGTTTTACACACAAGGTAATGTACAATTACATATAATATACATTAAAGCACAAGCAGCACAACTTAGCATTAGCTGCAGATTATAGACATTTACCTTCCTGACCAAAAACCTGAAGTTGCTTTATTAGTTGGTCTTTGTCCTTCAGGAGGTTTGCGTTCTTCTTTAATATCTCATTTCTCGCTTTTGTAAACGTAGTAATCTTGTTGAGTAGCTCATCCCTGTCTTCTTCGAGGTTGGTGATGTTGATTAGAACCTTGTCTTTGATTTTTGTGAGATTGATGATGTCGGTTAGTAGCTTGTCTCTGTCTTCTGTAATGTTGGCGATGTTGGTTATAAGCTGGCGTCTCTCTTCAGCAAAATTTGTGTTGTTTGTATAGATGAAGACACTCAGCACTATGACTGCAGTCAGCAGAAGTAAACACAATAGCACCAAACAGACTGGAGCTGCTCTGGAGCTTCTCTTCTTTCCTGAATCACTTGCTGAAGATGGCAGACATTCATATAAATGGTTATTTATCAGACAAAACCAAAAGCATTGATGTATTTTAGTAACATGTTGCGGTGCACTCATACAAATGTTATGACTTGTGCATAAGCCCCTACAAATTAAAGGTGTACAAGTCAATAAACAGCTGGTTTGTAGTTGATTTAAAGTACTGTCTCACAGTAGTTTTTTGGTTTAAGATCTTTAAAGAGAAGCACGTTAACATCACTGCTGAGAAACTGACTTCATTAAAGTCTTCTCCTTATAAGATCTCATTTTACATGCTTATTTTATGTATTTGACTAATCGAATTCATTGGCGAGCCACCCAATGATGGTTAAGCCAAATACATCTAAACCTAATAGTGCATTCGTGTTCGTGTTTGTACCTGTTTCATTTCTGAGAGAGCATCTGTCCATCTTCGGTGTTGGATCATAGTTCACAAGTATATTGCCATAAATTGGCTGAGCCATTTCTATTCCACTGGTCATCTATAAATAATGGTTTAATGTGGTCTTTGTTTCTACTCTCTAGTTCTGTGCTATTGAGTCTCTAATTTTAGCATTTGAAGCTAATGTGTGGCAAACATGCAAACATATAAGGCCATGTGACATCCTGTATCTGTTCACGTGAATACAGAAAAGTCTCACTAAAGGTTTCCATTGTGGTTGTGTGGTTACTGTAGATGTAGCTTAATGGTTACCATAGCTGATAAAATGAGCACAGTAAAATTATTCATGTGGAAAAGTCATCTTACTTTATTTCTGTATTTATTTTTCATTTATATTTATTGATCATAAAATGCATCTTTATAGTGCTAAACATCTGTTTTTATTGCCTTATTGTTTCTACTTATTTAGGATAAATGAAGCAATGAGAATAGCAGAACAGAAGTGATCTGAGGTCAGTGTGTAAAGTCCCAAATTATGTGAGATGTATGCACAATGACACCATAAAGTAAAGCTTTTGAAACTTTACAGACTTGTGAAGTAATTGCACCTCAAATTTGGTAGTTTTTTTATTATATATATATATATATATATATATATATATATATATATATATATATATAATAATCTCTATTGTTCTTACAAAATTAAAACAGTTCCTAACTATTGGTTTTGAGCCAACTTCAGACATATTTAAGTATAACAAAGTGTTAAGTCATATCACTTTTTATGGGGTTTCTCACCAAATAAATACTTTAATTACTGCCAAGAGCTGTAAACTACTTTTATTTTGTAATCCACTCTTGTGTACAAAGCAATAAGCCTGGCAAAATGATGAACACTACAACAGTATTATAGAAGTTATTATTAGTTTATTCAATAAATTAATGCAAGGTAGCGCCAACTGATTTCTATGAACAAAAAAACTAAACTGTGTAAACAATGTTTTGCTTCAGATGTAAGATTAGATTTGCAGTGTATTATACAGATATGTGATTAATGGTGGTCAATATTAGAAAATGGCAATCCTCTGAAAATTAGGACTGACCAAAGATATGCATAAAGTGCTACATAGCTTGTGTACAGGATCGTTGTTCCTCACATGAAGTTGATCATTGTTAGGGTTCAATGTCATCTAAAGTTTGAAAACCCCTGCTTTAGTGATCCTGAAGACTTTAGATAACATTTTAGAGGCACTTTATTAAGGTTGGTGTTGTGATTTTAAACTTAACATTAAAAACAAAACATTTTTGTTGCTTAAATGGTAACTGGTAAAATGGACTTCTCACAGATCCATTGATGAGCATCATCACATGCAACATCAAGCCATCCCTTTAACTCAGGGTGCTTTTTTAAATGGGTCACAGCACAGTTCTCTGTTTCTCGTCCATTGGGCTCAGTTATTGATCCAGAGGAAGCCCAGAACCTGCATGAACAGATCAACATTAGATGTTCAGTGCTGCTGTGTGATATGATACTGGTCGTGAAGAATCATTTATTAGATCATAATCAGTTCCGTTCAGTGATTTCTCACCCAGAGGTCAGTATACTGCCATCAACCCATTTCCAATTTCCTTCTTCATCACTGTCAGTCAGACCAATCCAGAATTCATTGTTACCAGTGATCTTCATAATAAAATCCTGAGCAGATGAAACAATGCAACATTTATTTAATCAATAGACAATATTCACATTTTATCTTATCTTCCACAAACACACACAAACGCTCACTCACTTGTTCCTGTTTGTTGTTTACGATGATCAGATCTGCTCCTCTGTCTTTACAGCATCTTCTGCTCTCAGTCCAGCTCTTTGTTTCATTGGACAAGTAGTAAAAACTGGATTGATAGTAAAACCATACAGCTATTAAAAAAGTTCTGCCATTAGTATATTTGTCCCATTTACAATCCCACAGCTGTTACTTACAGTAGATAAAGTACAGTTATATAGAGTATACACTGAAGCATTGCAAGTCTACAAGCTGCACAAATTTGCTGTAACTGCAGATTATAGTCATTCACCTTCTTGACCAAAAATCTGAAGTTGCTTTATTAGTTGGTCTCTTTCCATCAGAAGGTTTGTTAGCTCATCTTTGGCTCCTGTGAGGTTGCTGATGTTGGTTACTAGCTGGCGCCTATCTTTAGCACAGTTTTTGTTGTTTGTATAGATGAAGACACTCAGCACTATGACTGCAGTCAGCAGAAGGAAACACAACAACACCAAACACATTGGAGCTGCTCTGGAGCATCTAGTCTTCATTGAATCACTTCCTGGAGATGACAGACATGAATATAAATGTTTATTTATTGAACAAAAATGAAAGTGTGTTTGTATTTTTACCTGTTTGATTTCTATGAGAGGACCTGTCCATCTTCAGTCTTGAATTTGTGTTTATGCTGGCATAAATAGGCTGAGACATTTTTATTCTGCTGGTCTTATAAATAATGAATTAATGCGGCCTTTGTTTCTACTGTCTAGTCCTTGAGTCTCTAATTTCAGCATTTGAAGCTAATGGGGCAAACATGACAACATATAAGACCATGTGACATCCTGTATCTGTTCACATGCATACAGAAAAGTCTCACTAAAGGTCCCCATTGTGGTTGTGTGGTTAGATGTAGCTAAGTGGTTAGAATGGAAGTTAACATGAGCCCGGTAAATATATTCATGCGAAAAGTCACCTTGCTTTATTTAGTTAACATCAGAAAATACACCATTATAGTGCTCAACATTAGTTTTTTTTATTTTATTATTATTCATTTTAAAGAAAAATCATGGGAAAAGCAGAGCAGAAGTGATTGAAGTCAGTTTGGTAAAAAAAAAAAAAAAAAAAAAAAATTATCAAAATATATCACAAATAAATAGTAAATTCTAAAAATAAATAAACTCATTAGATTTGTCTCATTTCAGAGGCTGCATTCTCTGAAGGATGTAAACTTCAAAGGTGAGTCCTTCGAAATCCACACAGGCCGAACTGAGCGTTTTGAAATGAGACAATGTAGAGGAAAGATCTCGCCACCAGGCAATCATAACAGCTGCCATTAATAAGCTGTAATAAAATTTTAAATGATTTTTTTCTCAAAAGTGATTTTAAAACTTATATTAAGCGATCTGAAGTCAAAATAAGGTTTATAAAACGGGAATTTTTTTTTTTTTTGCTAACTTTTATTTGTCACTTTTTAGTAAGACATTTTATACTCTTTTTGTATTTAAACATGTGATTAGATCTCTAAGTAAAATAAAATATAATGCATACATATAAAACTGTAATCGGGAGTTTTTCTTTTAAAAATGCCCTGCTGTTATCAATGCGCATTAAATCTTGGGTTGTTTGAGGCCACGAATGATTCAAAGGTTGTGTTCTTTATTAACTAGTAAAAAAGGGATGCATTTTGAGGCTACATTTAAAGGAAAGTTTTTTTATTTTTTTTAAATAAGACGATGATGGAGCACCCATTGAATATATCTTTCGGAGGAAGCAGCCTCTGAAATAAGACAGTAACTATTGTAGTCACTCTCTGATTTTTACACTAAACACCACATATACAATATGCAGATATTTGACCACACAAGCAAACCATTTACATTACAAATATACGTTATCAAAAAGATTAAAGTGATTATCTGTATTTTGAAGTGGTTGTTGTGTGTTTGACTCTGTCCTGAAGTCATAATCTCCCACAAAGTCTGTACTCTTGTTACGATAACCAGCGATCATTCACTGGAGATCGCTGGTTTCCTCTTTCTTCATGAACCTCACTTCCGCATTCCCCAGGACTACATTTCCATACATGCACTTCTTCCAATCACGCACGCCTGGTCACTCATCTTCCTGATTACATCACCAGCTGAAACCTGTTACAGAGACTGATTACACACAGTATTTAAGCAGCACACACACTCATTCACATGGCCGAGTCTTGTCTACTGTTTGGTGACATTTCTACGCGTTTCTCCCGATCTTGTTTCTCCGTGTCTGTACCTAGCTTTGTATTCTAATTATCCTGTGTAGCCGCCTGCCTTTCGACCTTTTGCCTGTTTACCGACTTCGACTCTGGATTTGCCCGTATATGCCTGTTCATACCTGTTTTGACCATTGCTTGCTTGACCACGAATAAACCTGCATTTGGATCTTACCTTCAGTTGTTTGTATCTATCCCAAATCACAACAACTCTCATAGATAACCACTGCCATCTCCACTCGCTCTCTGTTAATTCTCTCAGACTCGGTCTTGATCACATTGTTATAAATATCCTCAGAAATTTCTGCTCTCAGATCATTGTTCCTGTATAGAAGTGTGGTAAAGTAGCTGGTACTTCTTTTAACACTGTTTGCTAAACCTGTGGTCAGTGTGTGAAATGCTGTGACATCAGACACTTACACTTACACTTAGACATCAGACACTTACACTTTCTAGAACAATCTAGAAAGTAATTCAATGAACTTCTATGAGAGCACTTTCTAAGCTTAATACTTTTAATTTGTAGCTGTTTGAATATTTACATTTTAACCCTATACCGCATGTTTTTGCCAAATGGCAACACGATACTTATGTTCATTTCTCTGCCACTGTTTCTTTATAACCAACATTAAATTGTTGTTGTTGGAAAGAGAAGATGTTTGTGTGCCAATGATGTGCTTTGGTTAAGTCACATAACATGCAGTGTTTTCCTGTAGCGCAAAATCTGACAGACTGGCATTTATTGTGAGTATCTGCTAAATGCAAATGTAAATGTCAATAAAAACATAAGATTAAATTATGTCAGATCTACAAAAAAATCTGAGACATATTCACAACTCAAAAAAGTTTTTATCAAATTCGTTTTTTGCATGTGTTTGCCAAATGGCAACACTGTGCAGTAGTGGAACTTCTAATATAAGCAACAGTAGCTACAGTAGCAAGGTCAGCTGTAAACTTTTAAGTCATAACAATAACAACAGGAATGCTGGTAATATAATGGTGATTAGTTTATGATAATGACATTTGCATTATGGATAAAATCTAGTTTTTATGGCAACACTACTTTTGAATAGATATCAATACAGGGAACAGTGTATTAGCGAGCACCACCATGTTCTATGGTAAGTGAAAGAAGAAATGCACAGAACTGGCTCTTTCTGCAGATGAAAGTGAGGATGAGATGAGTTTTAGTGACCATGAGAATGATCCAGATTGTACATTTGATAAGAGCAGTGATGGAGACAGTTCAAGTTAGCTCTGAGGCAGATAAGACAGGCATAGTATAGTGTAGAGTATAATATATAAACATTGCTAGTAGCTACATTATTCTGATGCATCTGGATATATTAGACTTGTTATTTATTTGTTATAATATTTACTGGAGTAATTATTTATAATACAATATTTTGTTTGTTTTTAATAATATTCAGCAAAAAATAATGGAATAAATGAAAGCTATTGGGATATAAGTTGTTGGAAAGTATCTATGAGGTTTCATTTATAAGTTCTGTAATAAAGCTTATAATACTGAAACACCAATTAAATCATTTCAAACAACAAAATTAATAATTATAAGGAGAATTCTAAATTAGAAGTTTCTAAGTTAGATCCACTGTTGGACGTTGTTGCCATATGGCAACATTTCATAAAGTACCTAAAAAAATTAAAATTTCTGTTTTTTAAAAGCATTTCATGTTAAGCCATTTTAGGAAAATAAAAACAGTCAAATCTAAATTTTTGATAGATCTATCGAAATGCGTGCAGCAGAGGGTTTTAAGCAGTGTAGTCTATTCTATGCATTTAGTGATCCTTTCTGTATGACATGATTCTAACTGTTGGAACCAGTATTTTGATTATAATTACTTAATATTTCAGTAATGTCCTACCCAGTTGTCACATGATTTGGAGTAATACTCATAAAAAAATGCTTTTTAACAGACAATATATCTTTCATTTGACCATCTTAAATTTGGCTTCTGATTATTTACTTATAAGGCCTAATTGTAGATATGCTACTTCATCATCCTTTTGGAATTTAATAAGTTTGAATCATTTGTTAACTCTGATCATGTATAAACAATAATACTAATGATTGTGTTATTATACCTTTTAAAGGATGAATTTTGCAGCTCAGGCCAACATCATGACAATACACTGTGAAAAAACTTCAGGAATGAAACGCAACATGAACATTTGAAACCGCCATGAACCTATGTAGCTTTCTCAGAGGAATCTTCCTCTTGGTATTTTACATTGTCATGTGAAACAAAGACTACATTTAGTACAGTTTCTCTTTTTTTAATTTAGGATTTTTATGAAAATAATCTCTGTTGTTCTTACAAAGATAAAACAGTTCCTAACTATTGGATTTGAGCCATTAACCAAAAAATACCTTCATCTGTAACAAATATACAACAAGTATAACAAAGTGGTAATATTGATTTTATTCTTCCATGCGGAAGTGCGCTCGTTTTTGCAATTGTTTTAGAACTTCCGATTTAGTTACCTATGGGAGAAATGACTAAGAATAATAAAACTGCTGAAAACGTTCTAACGACTCGCTCTATAAACAAGTGTTTACATGATTATACAGACAAAATAGAATAATATACTAAGAAAATATCAGTTTGCAACATCAAGCAGCAAAACGAGCTGTTTTTAACGTGTAAAAATGAATGGAAGTGAATGAGAATAAGGTGAATACAGTTATATCACTTTTTATGTGGTTTCTCTCCAAATAAAGATTTACTTAATGCCAAGAGCTGTAAACTATGTTTTATTTTGTAATGAATTCCAGTGTATAAAACAATAATCCTTTCAAAATTATAAACACTACAACAGTGTTATAGAAGTTATATTTAGGTCAATAAATTGTGTAAGATAATACCAGCTGATTTGTATGAAAAAAAATTTACACAAAGTTTTGCTTGATACTTGAACTTAGATTTGCAGTGTATTTTACAGATCTGCTATTAATGGTGCTCATTATTGAAAAAAAATCAAGCCTTAGTATATCAGGACTAACCAAAGATATGTATAAGTGCCACATAGGCTACAGTAAGTTTACTTTTTAGGATTGGTGTTCCTCACACGAGGTTAACCATTTCTAAGGGTCAATCTTGTCTAATGATTAAAAACCCCTGCTTTAGTGATCCTAAAGGCTTTTACAAGATTTTCATTAGGGTTGGCGTTAATTTTAACTATTAAAACAAAACAAACAAAAAATATGTTTCTTAAATGGTAACTGGTCAAATATTCTTCTCACAGATCCATTGATGAGCATCATCACATGTAACATCAAGCCATCCTATTAACTCAGGGTGCTTTTTTAAATGGGTCACAGCACAGTTCTCTGTTTTCCCTCCATTGGGCTCATTTATTGATCCAGAGGAAGCCCAGAACCTGCATGAACAAATCAACATTAGATGTTCAGTGCTGCTTTGTGATATGCTACTGGTCGTGAAGAATCATTTATTAGATCATGATCAGTTCCGTTCAGTGATTTCTCACCCAGAGGTCAGTATACTGCCATCAACCCATTTCCAAGTGCCCTCTTTTTTAATGTCAGTCAGACCAATCCAGAATTCATTGTTACAAGTGATCTTCATAATAAAGTCCTGAGCAGATGAAACAATGCGACATTTATTTAATCAATAGACAATATTCACATTTTATCTTCTTCTAAGCACCACAAACACACACAATCGCTCACTCACTTGTTCCTGTTTGTTGTTTATGATGATCAGGTCTGCTCTTTTGTCTCTACAGTATCTTCTGCTCTCAGTCCAGCTTTTTGTCTCATTGGAAAAGTAGTAAAAACTGGATTGATAGTAAAACCATCCAGCTGTTAACACAACAAGTTTAGCTGTTAATTTATTAGCTCGATTTACAATCCCACAGCTGTTACTTACAGCAGGTAAAGTACACTTATATAGAGTATACACTGAAGCATTGCAAGTCTACAAGCAGCTCAAATTTGCTTTAACTGCAGATTAAGGTCATTTACCTTCTTGACCAAAAATCTGAAGCCACTTTATTAGTTGGTCTTTGTCATATAGAAGGTTTGTCAGCTCGTCTTTGGCTCCTGTGAGGTTGGTGATGTTAGTTATTAGCTGGCGTCTCTCTTCAGTGTAGTTTGTGTTGTTTGTATAGATGAAGACACTCAGCACTATGACTGCAGTCAGCAGAAGGAAACACAACAGCACCAAACACACCGGAGCTGCTCTGGAGAATCTCGTCTTCACTGAATCACTTCCTGGAGATGACAGACATGAATATACTGTAAATGTTTCTTTATCTGACAAAAATGAAAGTGTGTTTGTATTTGTACAGTACCTGTTTGATTTCTATGAGAGGACCTGTCCATCTTCAGTCTTGAATCAGTGTTTATGTTACCATAAATAGGCTGAGACATTTTTATTTTGCTGGTCATCTATAAATGGTAAATTAATGCAGTCTGTTTCTACTGTCTAGTCATGTGCTGTTGAGTCGCTAATATTAGCAATTGAAGCTAATGTGGCAAACATGCCAATGTATACAACCATGTGACATCCTGTATCTGTTCACATGCATACAGAAAAGTCTCACTAAAGGTCTCCACTGTGGTTGTGTGGTCACTGTAGATGTAGAGAAAATTGTCGATAAAATAAGCACAGTAAATTTATTCATGAGGAAAAGTCATCTTTATCTTAATTTATTTATATATTTATTTTTTTATTTATGTTTATTCATCACACAATGCACCTTTAGTCTAACAAGTGATCTGAGATCAGTGTGTAAACTCCCAAATTATGTGAAATTAAGTGGTTAAAATGGAAGTTAAAATAAGCCCAGTAAATGTATTAATGCAAAAAGTCTTGTTTTATCTAGTTAACTTCAGAAATGCACCATTATAGTGCTCAACATCAGTTTCCTATTAAGATGATGAATGAGCAACCTTAGAATACATCTATCGAAGGATGCAGCCTCTGAAATGAGACAGTTACTATTGTAGTCACTCTCTAAATCTTACACTAAACACCACATATACATAATGCTGATATGTGACCACACAAGCAAACCGTTTACATTGTTATCAAAAAGATTAAAGTGATTACCTGTATTTTGAATTGGTTGTTGTGTGTTTGACTCTGTCCTGAAGTCATAATCTCTCACACAGTCTGTACTCTCATAGATAACCACTGCCATCTCCACTCGCTCTCTGTTCATTCTCTCAGACTCAGTCTTGATCACATTGTTATAAATATCCTCAGACATTTCTGCTCTCATAGCTGGAAACTGTTTTGATCATTGTTCCTGTCTAGAAGTGTGTTAAAGTAGCTGGCACTTCTTCTTTTAACAACGTTTGCTAAACCTGTGGTCAGGGTGTGAAATCTTATGGCACTTACAGTACTTTACGATTTGAACAATCCAGAAAGTAATTCAATGAGCTTCTATAAAAACACGTTCTAAGCTTAAGGGCCCTATCATACACCCAGCGCAATGTGGCGCAAGGCGCGGCGCAATACTCTTTTGCTACTTTTAGCTCGGCGCAAGGGTCATTTTGAGGTGTTGCGCCACGCTGTTTAAATAGCAAATGCATTTGTGCGCCCATAGGCGTTCTGGTCTAAAAAAGCAGGCGTGTTTTGGCGCGTTGCTATTTTGAGAAACTGTAAATAGTCTGATCTTTAGACCAGAACAAAGTTGATCTATTGTCTGGCGCAAAGTGCGCCTGGCTTACACACTACAAACAAGATGCAGAGCAATCTTATTATATATATATATATATATATATATATATATATATATATATATATATATATATCGGGAGGCTTTTCAGTTCATTCAATTTGCTTTTGTATAATGTTATTGTTATTAGCAGTATTATTTATTATATCCATATTCATATTTGTTTTATTAAAAACAAGCTTAGATTTGTCCACCTGTCAAATCTCCGACCATATGGGGCATGGCAGGTGTATTTGGAGATAACTCAGTATTTTGACCACACTTGGTTATTATTGTTCATTTATTCGTTTGCTAGAAATTAGAAGTGAATTTAGAAATAGTTTTGAAACAAATATTTGCGCTTAACAAACTAAATTAATTATTTATGGGCTAATTGATGTCTGTGCGTAAAGGTTTCCCTATCCACGAGAGCAAAAGCCAAAGTGAGCTTACTTTACGTCAAAATGCGCTTATGCATTACGCAGCTGGCTCTTAATGGGAATGGGAGATGAGGCTCTTATTGGTTGATTCTCAAAACACACCTATAACTCATTAGGAAAATAAACTCAACCCTTTTAGACCATGCGCCATGGCGCAAAGCGGGTTTTCCCATCCTTAAATTAGCAAAAATGCGTTCTGACACGCCCTGAAAGCGTTTGCGCCCTGCGTTTTGCGATCTGCGCATGGACCGTCAAAATGGAGCCCTAATAGTTTTCATTTTTAACATTAACATATTTTAAGCAGTTTAGTTCAAATCATGCACATGTCTATAATTTTGTGTGTAAATTATTACAGCAATATTTGTATATTGAAACCGTGATGTGTTTAGGTGATCACCATTTGGAATAACCAGTACATTTTTATTTCTAAGATGCATGTTAAGCAGAACACACAAGAACAGCAAACACTGTTGGTGCTCCTTAGCTTTCTGAAATCACTTTCTCAACACATGTCATCATGTCTTTCACCATCATTACTTAATACACACTTTGAAAATAAAAGTCATGCCAAATTAATTTCTGGGTCTCACCAAAAGATTGTAGTTTAGCGCACAAATATCTATAGACTGTTTGTTTTGGACTGTTTTATGGTAATGGCACATTAAAATGTATGCTTTTATACATCATTGAAATATATGCTTTCATACTACATATGCTTTTATTGTTTATTGATTTATTGTATTGTTTGTGAATACACCTTACTACTATGGCTATTTTTTGTCATTCTTTTATCATGTACAAACATCTCACAATGTAGTTTAATTCATTAAAGGGTCATGAAACCCCTTCTTTCTGTTCAAGACTACCTCAGATGGCTGTGGACCACCGCAAGCAGAGGGAGGTGTAAGCGTGGATGGCAGAGCAGGGGGAGAAAGAGGGGAGAGAACAACTCTTAGTTGGCTCACAAAATGAGACAAACTGTGAGGAGACTCAAGATTTTATAGTTTACAAAGTTAAAATGCAAATAAATAAATAGTGAGGAATATAATGCCCTGCAACATTTATTATTCATAATTTTATATACACATAACCACACTTTGTTATATCAAATTGACAATCATAGGAATATCATGTTTGTATAAACACCATACACTGAAAAAAATATTTTGCCTGTAGAACTGTTGCAAACAATTTATTTGTGTTGAATTTAAACAAATAAATGTAATGTTATAATGTTCAACTTAATTTGTTTGTTTAAATTCTCTCCAAATAAATTGTTTACAACCACTTAACAACAACAACAAAAAAATTTGTAAATCCAAGGTATTATCTTTGAATATATTTATTTCAGTGTACATGAGGAACTCTCTCTTTCTCAATCCCTGGTCCTCAATGCAGCAACAGTGGATAGCAGTGCAGCAGGTCACTTGGCCTATCTATTTCTACCATTAGTTCTGCCGGTAATCTGTATGATTTTAAACATAGGCAAACACAGCAGCCTGGATAGGCGATGTGTCTGAATGGTAGCAAACTTAACTGATAAAAGAGAAAGTCCATCATTATCTAATTCTCGTACAGCTCTCCCGACAAAAATGCTTGCTGCAAACCAACAGCTTTGCATCAAACCCCTTAGATCATGGAAACAAACACATACGACAAAGTTTTTTAATAGAGTCGATAAGTTAAATGTAAGATGGCACCAACTGTGTTTGTATGAAACAAGCGTGTGAATCAAACACATGAAATTAGCAGTGGCTTCAGAAATCTTCATATTATATGGACCAATTGACGCGTTCAGATTAAATAATACAATATCAGAAAAAAAAATAAGCCCTTGGAATGTCCCAACAGGCCAATCAGAATCCAGTTTTTCAGATGCCGTTTTAATAAAGGCAAATTATATAGGAGAGTAAAGCGTGTGTAAATTATTTGTAAAAAAAAAAAAAAAAGTATTATATTCTAGAGTAGTGTTAAATTCCCAAAATTCTAATGCGATCTTTAAGGTTTTGCATGTATGGGAAAATAATAGGTTGACAACTTGTTCAAAATTATAACAAGAAACACTTCTATTTTAGTCGAGATTTAGTATTTAGTATTTTAGTATACATCTTATTCTTCAAAGTAACATTAAAGAAGACTTAATTAAACATTCCTCTGGAATTCTTCACCATCTTAAATGACCAAGTTTTTTTTTTTTTTTTCGCTCATTAGCTAGATGTTTAGAAGAATAGACAGCTGCAGTACACACGGTTGATGTTCTGCAATTTCCTGAAGTCACTTCCTGAATGCACTAGATATGGTGCCAGTATTTCTTTCGCCATTATTAATCACTCTGTACACCTTTTGTCATTATTTTCTGCTGATAAATCACAACACATATGGAGCTGTTTATTCAAATGAAAATTGCAACACAAGTGCTGATGCTGTCATCAAACAGTTAATGACGTAAATACAATTAGGATTCGATGTGTGGTTGCAAACACATCAAAGACCAATGCACAGTAATGGGATTTTTTATTTTATTTTATTTTTTTTCTAAATAAATAGTGTTTTTAGGATGTCTAGATTGAACAGTGTTGGGAAAAAATGCTTTTGAAAGTAATGCATTACAATATTGAGTTACTTACCCAAAGTAACTAGTTGCGTAACTTGGTTACTTTTTTATGATTAGAATGTGTTAAATTACTTTTTAGTTACTTTTACATACCTCTCTGAGGCTTGATCTCTCTTTTTTTTTATTAAGGAGCTCTGCATTCAATGACACACTATGTAACCTACACATTCATTTACCTTAAAACTAATAAAAAACAAAAAAAAAAAAGAACAATGTTATCTCCTGAGAACTTCCTGATGCTATACTGTACATACCGTATATACATGAAAGTTGAAAGCAATGTGTTTGCTACTTTGTATTTTTCTCTTATTATTTCAGTAAAATCCCTAAAATAACTGTCCATTCAAATATTATGGAAATATAGAAGATACTACAAAGTAATGAGAAAACTTCCATCACAGAAATGTAAGTCTCTGACATCTTGGTTTCTTTCTGTTTGTGTCTGAGCTCATTCTCATTCATTATAGTAATTTTAATTCAGCAAAATAACTTTTTTAAAAGTGAATTAATTAATCTAAAAAGTAACTGAAATTACAATTTCTTTAAGTAACTTGAATATTAATACTTAATTTTTAAAAGTAATCCATTACTTTACTTGTTACTTAGAAAAGTAATATTATTACATTACTCACATTACTTGTAATGCGTTACCCCCAACACTGGTAATAACACATGGAAATCTTTAAATTATTTTAATAATACAGTATTAATAAAAATTATAAATAATTGCAACACATACATTTGTCAGGAAGTTTCCATTTATTTAGAATCGTACAGCTCTGTTCTTTTTTAACTCATTCATAGTGTATACTGACATTTCCAGTCACACGTTTACTTGTGATTTGCATATGTAGTTTTCCAGTCAATTATTTGTTTGCAAGGTTTAAATAGCCAGTTTAGTTCTTGAACAGGTAAATCATCATTAATCAGGTTTTTTGTCATAATGATTGCATACATTTTAAAACTTAAATAAAGTCACACTGCCCCATAGATGAATAACAGTTTTATAATAGTTATAATATATATTCATATATAAAAAAAAATTTTTTCACAACAACATCAACAATTAAAAAAAAAAATTAAATGAAATTGCTTGGCTTAAATATAGTTCATATAAAGTGATAAAACACTAAAACAAGTGAAACTAAATGTTCAAGACGGCATGAAACAGAAGTTGGTATTTTTTCCCAATTGTGATGTGCATCCACTTGGAATAATGTTACTGAAATGAGAATTAAATGTAGGTGGTGCATGATTCTGTTCGTTGGGAAGCGATCGTTGGAAGATGGCCGTTGCTAAAAATAAAATGTAAAAATAAAAGATTTGAATGCCAGTTTGTTGTGTTTATTACTGTTCACCGAATCATCATCACCACCCTCTGGGGCAGAATACTTTAGATGTCCAATAATGATGAGAACAAGAAGCTAATTTTTACAGATGGAATTGTATCATTAGTTTAGACGTTTGCCTCCCACGAGAGCAACTTATAGAAACAAAAGAGAAGAAAAGTTCATTCATTACAAGCACTATCTCTCTAAAAAATCTAATGATTATTAAAACCTTTGCTGTATGGTAAAAAAGAGATATATTTAGTTAAAAAAAAACACCAGTTAAGTTCGATTTAAATATATATACATCAAATATATTTATATATGTATATATGTATATATACAGTTAAAGTCAGAATTATTAGCCCCCCTGATTTATTAGTGCCCCTGTTCATTTTTTTCCCCAATTTCTGCTTAATGGAGGGAAGATTGTTTCAGTACATTTCTAAGCATAATAATTTTAAAAACCTATTTCTAATAACTGATTTATTTTATCTTTGCCATGATGACAGTAAATAATATTTTACTTTATATTTTTCAAGACATGTCTATACAGCTTAAAGTGACATTTACAGGCTTAAAGAGGATAATAAGGTGAACTAGGCAGGTTAGGGTAGTTAGGCAAGTTATTCTATAGCAATGGTTTGTTCTGTAGACTATCGAACAAAAAAAATTTGCTTAAAGGAGCTAATAATTTTGTCCCAAAAATGGCTTTTAAAAAATTAATAACTGCTTTTTTTCTAGGTGAAATAAAACAAATAAGACTTTTTCCAGAAGAAAAAATATTATCAGACATACTGTGAAAATTGCCTTGCTCTGTTAAACATCATTTGGAAAATATTTAAAATGGAAAAAAAATCAAAAGGGGGCTAATAATTCTGACTTCAACTGTATATATATATATATATATATATATATATATATATATATATATATATATATATATATATATATATATATATATATATATATATATATATATATATATATATATATATATTATAAAAAAAAATAACAAAAAATGACCTTGCAAAATTAAAATACACTTAATATTTATTAAGTGCAGTGGTTTGGTTCTCACTCTGAGCAATCCAAACTTTTTCCTTGCATGTTTGTTTGACCGCATTTCACATTGATGTCATTCCTGGATTATTATGTTGGTGTGAGATGCTCCATCAATATCCCATTATGTAGAAAAAATCTATATTTATTTTTTTTATTAAGAGGCTAAGATCAGCACAACTTATGTGATATGCCTGTCATTTAATATGCTAGTGTAGGAACTCGGCTATGCTCAGCATAATTGAGTACACCCCGTTTTGAAAATGAATATTTTCCTCCATTTCTCAGTGAATATAGGCAATGTATCTTCGTGCATTTAAAGAAAACAAATTTTACAGAACATTAAAATAGTGACCTTGAAAAGAAAATCTGATAAATTTCTAAGAACTGAAAAATTGACTGACATAAAGATGTTCATAATGCACTAAATAAAAATATGTCTTTCACAGATCCATTTAAAAGTACTACCACATGGGTAATCAGCCCATCCCCAAGGATTAACTTGAGCACAGTCCTCATTTCCTGCATGGCTATTAGGTTCTCCAGATTGCCAGTTGTTGAACCTGCAGATCAACATTAGATGTTCAGTGACGTTTTTCTTGTTTTATGATACTGATTTTGAGAACAGTTGATCAGCTCAGTTTTTCTCACCCAAAGGACGGGCTGCTACCATCAACCCATATCCATTTATCTTCTACTTCTTGGTCAGTCAGACCAATCCAGAAGTCTGTGACAGCAAAATAGGTCCTTAAAAAATTCTGAAAAGCAGAAACAGTTTAACAGCAGTTACCACACTGTCTTTCATTTTATAGCTTAACCACACACATACATTTTTGTTTTCTGTTAATTGATGGCGCATTTCATATTTTTATTTTTTATTTTTAACTGACTGGGATAAATCAGTACACACATGCACAATCTCTCTCACTCACTTGTTCTTCTCGGTTGTTCACAATCAACAGATCTGTTCCTCTGTCTTTACAGTCTTTTCTGCTCTCATTCCAGCCCTTCTGCACAGCTGAAATTAAGTAAAAACTGGACTGATAGAAAATCCATCCATCTGTAAACAAACAGTTCTGGTTTTTAATATGTGTAAAATTATTTTAGCCTCCTCCAAACTTTTTTATTTTTTATTTGTGTGCCTTAAATAGGGAAGACAAAACATGTTTCTTGCCCCCTGGTGGTTATAATCTCAACAGATCGAATCATGTTAGTTCTTAAAAATGTTGTTTTATGTTTACTTGTATACTCATATGTTTATTTTTCTAGTAAGTTGACTTTTAGTTAGTTAGTCATTTTAGTTAGTGCTGTCTAAGTTTTTTCAGTTTTGCAATATATGATTGCCATTCTTGGATTGTAACTTTATTTTAAATAATGCCTTAATCTCAACACTTCTATACAAAAAGTCAACCTAAACAATATCACATTAGTGTTTGTATTTTAATTTCTTAATTGTATTAAATTATTTATAGTTTATGCTTAACACACATTAAGTTTTATAATTATGTTATTGTCTTTACACTTTTCATACTTCAAAAATCATGTTCACTAATATTGCACCTGTCACACAGACAGTGTTGGTGAGGGTTACGTAATAATATTATTTTTCTAAGTAACAAGTAAAGTAACACAATACTTAAAAAAATAAGTAATAATATTTGAGTCACTTTAAAAAAATGCAAAGAGATAAAAGATTTTTGGAAATTGTTGCAAATTTATAAAAATAAAGAAAAACTGAAAAATCACAAGTACATAAGTATTCAGAGCCTTTGCCAGTATTTCTTAATTGAATTAAAAATTTCTGCTGCTCTGAAAGTTCCAATGAGCACAGTAACCTCCATCATCTGAAAGTGTAAGATGTTTGAAACCATCAGGACCCTTCCTAGAGCTGGCCGGCCATCTAAGCTGAGTGATCGGTGGGAGAAGGGCCTTAGTCAGAGAGATGATCTATAACCCGATGGTAACTCTGAGCTCCAGCGTTCTTCTCTGGCAAGAGGAGAACCTTACAGAAGGACAACCATCTGCAGCAATCCATCAATCAGGCCTGTATGGTAGAGTAGCCAGACAGAAGCCACTCCTTAGTAAAGGGCAGATAGCAGCCCACCTGGAATTTGCCAAAAGGCATATGAAGGACTATCAGACAATAAGAAGCAAAATTAGCTGGTCTGTGAGTTTAAATTGAACTTTTTTGTGTGAATGCCAGGTGTTACGTTTGGAGAAAACCAGGCTAATTTCATCCCTACAATAAAGCATGATGGTGGCAGGATCATGCTGTGTGGATGTTTTTCAGGAGCAAAAACTGGAAGACTAGTCAGGATAGAGGGAAAGATGAATGAAGCGATGTACAGAGACATCCTGAATGAAAACCTGCTTCAGAGTGCTCTTGACTTTAGACTGGGGCGACGGTTCATCTTCCAGCAGGACAATGACCCAAAGCACACAGCCAAAATATCAATGGAGTGGCTTCGTAACAACATGGTGAATGTCCTTGAGTGGCCCAGCCAGAGCCCAGACCTAAATCCTTTTGAACATTTCTGGAGAGATCTGAAAATGGCTGTAGATCGTCGCTTCTCATCCAACCTGATAGAGCTTGAGGAGAACTGCAATGAGGAATGGGCAAAAATTCCCAGAGACAGGTGTGCAAAGCTTGTGGCATCATTTTCAAAAAGACTTGAGGCTGTAATTGCTGCCAAAGGTGCATCAACAAAGTATTGAGGAAAGGCTGTGAATACTTATGTACATGTGATTTTTCAGGTTTTTTTTATTTTTAATAAATTTGCAATAATTTCCAAAAATCTTTTTTTCACATTGTAATTATGGGATATTGTGTGTAGAATTTTCAGGAATATCATAATCCATTTTGGAATAAGGCTGTAACATAAAAAAAAATGTGGAAAAAGTGAAGTGCTATGAATACTTTCCGGATACACTGTAGGTTGCTGTAATTAATTTAGGTGGTTCCTGCACATGTCAGAAAAAAAGATAAATGTCTCTATCATAATCTATGCAAAAGCTATTCTATTCCAACTGAGAACAGAATCATTTATGGGAGTATAAGGCCAGTACAGATATTTAAAATTGAAAGAATGCGGAAGTAAACGACGTCACAGACTCTGTACCACATACGCAAAGTTTAGGAGGCTAATCGATTAGCTTTAAAAATAAATTGCTGAATTCAATTGATCCTAGTCACATTGAATCACATACAGCACTCATTCATTAATGTCTCAGTGATTTTCACAGAGCTTTTCTTTTTCTGGATTGCTTTTGAAAATTGTTAGTTGGGTTTAGGGAACAATTAATACAATTGGTTGGGTTTTGGGAAGGAGGAGGGTGGGTCAGTTGATCGGTCCATCAGTCATTCAAACAGTCAGTCAACAGCGACCTCTGGTGAATTTACATGAGAACAGCAGGCACGAATGGAACTCGCAAGAGAAATTCGAGATCTCACAAAGCATTCACATCAGCCTCTAGTGAATTCGCAAAAACAAAAACTGCAAAAAAAAGAAAGTAGCTCCTCAGACGTATTTGGTGCTCTTCACAAATGTATATAGAGGTATATTTTCAGAATGAGCCTCAGTTGCTAATAAGATAAAAAGAACAAAAGTAGCAAGTGCATTGCTTTAAGCTTATACTAATCTCTATATACAACACATACAGCTCTGGGATCAGGAATTTCTCAGAAGATAACATTATCCTAAATAAATTATTTTATTGTTTTTTAATAGGTAAATGAAGATTATGCAGTGTGTTATTGATTGAAAGACATCAAGCCAAAAAAGCAACACATAAGAAACTCGAAAGTAACGTAATACATTACTTATTCCATGAAAAGTACAGCAACTAGTTAATTTTTGGCAGATAACTTAATAGTGTAATGCATTACTTTCAAGAGAAACTTTCCCCAACACAATCATATTGCCCTAATAATATTTAAAAACAGATGAAACTTACCCATTTTACTAAGATTCTTCTGAAGATTATTTTTCTCCAATTGTAGCTGATTACTCACTGTAATCAGATTCTCATTCATGGATATCAGTTGTTGTCTGTCTAGAGTGAACATCACACTCAGCACCGTGACTGCAGCCAGCAGAAGAAAACACAGCAGCACCAAACACACTGTGGCTGCTCTGTACTTTCTCATCTTACCACAATCACTTTCTGAAGATGAACAAGCATGATGATATATTCTTAATCGTTTACCAAAGCGCACTTCAGCTGTAAACTTAGCAAACCTTTATTGCAAGTCTTTCTTAAATACATTTGTGCATTTATGTTGTGCGATGAAATGTATACATGAATGAGCTGTATACCTGTATGTTCTGATGTCTGGATCTCCAAAGTGTTTCTGGCAGTGATCTCATTCCTTGTAATATCTTTAAGATCCATTATGTTTTCATAAATACTAGAAATGCTTTCCCTATTTTCTCTGCTCATTTTTAAGTTTTATTTTAATTTTATTTTTCTATATTTTTCGTTGACTTTCTGGCTGTTTTGAAATCGATGCTGATGTCTCTTCTGGTGTATCTTCTGGAGTGGACAGTGATGTGATTCATTGCTGTTTTTTATTTTTTGGCAAATATTTATGCAAAAAAAAAGCTGTTCATTGGAAATGTTAATTTTGCATAAACTGTTTGCATAACTTCAACTTAATACGGAAGTTTTTTTAACTTTAACAAAGTGTACAATGTGTAGCTTCGACATATTCTCCATGATCAAGGTGAATGTCTTTTTTCCAGTTTCTTCTACAGCATCTTCTTGTATTAAAGTAAATGGTCTGCAGTCTTCAAGAGTGCACAGAGGTTGAGTTACACACTAAAAAAAAAAAAAAAAAAAAAGGTTTTAGATTAAAAAATAAAAAAATGCCTACTGACTTGATTTGCTTATAGCTATAAGATTACAATTTTTTTTTGTTAGACCACTATACATATTGTACCATTTGAAAGCTTAATATCTCTCTATTTTTGCAGATATTAGGGATGTAATGGATCACAGTTGACCTGTTTTGGCATTTACATGACCTTTGGATCAATAAGAATTTTTTTAACTTGTACATTAATCTTAAATTTGTAACAGTTGCAGAGAGATTGCCTCCCATGCCATAACATACAGGTCAATGCATGTCAAATTACATTTATGAACTCTTTTCAGTTTTCTTGTAAAATATAATCAACCCAGAGTCATTATAAAAAGCATACCTCTAAACACATCTTCATACATCCACCTGAGGCTGCTGTGTACGCTTTTTGAGATCTTAAATTTCTCTTTAATGTGAATCCACCAAAGACTTCTGTTGACTGACTGTTTGACTGACTGACTGAATGACTGACTGATTGACCGACTGATTCACCCTCCTCCTTCCCTAAACCCAACCAATAGTATTTTCAAAAGCACATATTGACCCGCTTACCCGTTTCCCTAAATCCAACTAACATTTTTAAAAAGAATCCAGAAAAAGAAAAGCTCTCATCTGATTTTTTGATCTGACATTCTCACCCTGTTATTTACTGATTCATTTTATTTTTTGATTTATTATTGCCTTACCCGCACTTTCCAGAACCGTTCTTCACCGGACTCGAACCCCGTCGCCATGGTCAACTCTTCTCTGTGTCTTAAATTTACCCACGTACATGGCGAACTAACTGGACTAACTGGTAACAGCGCGAAAGCCGTCTATACGGAGGTAAGCGGACAGCTGGGTGTTTCCCAGTGATAGGTTGCAGCTGGAAGTGCATCCGCTGCGGAAAATGTATGCTGGATG